GGGTTGCTGGTGCCCAGAGCCTGGAGTCTGCTTTGGATTCTGTGTCTCACTCTCTCTCTGCCCCTCCCCTGTTCGAGCTCTGTCTCTCTCTCAAAAATAAACACACATTTAAAAAATTTTTTTGAAAAAGAATGTAAAAGTCAACACATAGCAAGTTTGACTTCTGAGAGTCCTGTTTTTAAAAAATCACCTAACCGGCAACTCTAGAAGATGCCTACCTAAGCTACCCAACTAGAGCTAAGCAACTCTAAATTACCCAAAGAGGCCCCTTTCATTTTTAAAGGAGAAAACCTGGTGTTAAGTGAGATTTTAAACTCTATTATTTCCTTCAGTTTTACCCTGACAACATTGAATTTTTCTTTTTCTTTTTTTCCTTTAAAAAAGTAGTTGATGTCCAATATTGATGTTTTCTACTTGGAGCTTTCTAAATAAAATCATAATAAATGACTTCATGGCTCAAGGTCACTCTGGACTGTAGGTCCAGGGAAGCTTTTAGTCTCTTGCAGAACGATAGAAATTCCCAAGTAATTTGGAAGACACAATGAGTAGCTTTGTGCACAAGTACAATATTCAGCTGTGAGAGGAGGGCACATTTTCCTCTTAATATTTATTCTCCCCTCAAGATTTTGCACAGGCCCTGGTTGTGGTTCTCACTAACGAAGGAGAAAGGACAAATACAAAGCAGCTGGCACTTCTAACATACTTTCTCCTAACATAGGCACGATGTTCCCTGTGGAGCCCTTCCTGTGCAGAGGACTGGGTTCTGATCTGCTTTGTGGAGAGTGTCATGGGCCCACCACACTACCCTATGGAAATCTCACTGATCTGAGATCCTGGCAGCTTTAGGGATGGACTCTTTGTCTCTCTACATGGGTAGAGGAGAAACAGCGCCCCATGCAGGAAGCTAGGAAATCAGCCTTAGGACCTGGTGCTCCAGAACTCAAAGACCAGTTTCAGTCTTGCTACTCTTGAGGTTCTCTCAGAGGGGCGTGGCACCTGGTCAATGGCACCCTCAATGAATATTTACTCAAATATATTCACTTGATTTGATTTGATTTGATTTGATTTGATTTGATTTGATTTGATTTTGACTGAGAGTGGAGTTCTGAGTTTGGGTCATGGCTCATTCATCAATGTGTCCCTGCTAAAATCCTCAAAACTGACACTTTAGACTTCTGATCTGGCTCAGGCCCAAGAGGCTCTCTCTTCCTGATGCAGCTCAGTTTCTTGTGCTGCCACCAAGAGCTATGATCCCAGGACCTTTTCTCAAGGCTGAATAGATAAAGACCGTGATGCAAGCTTCTGCTTTTCTATTGGATGTTTACTTGTGGTGACCACAGAATACAGGCTTGGCTCTGGTATCTCTGCTTAGACTTGATATCACCCCAGGGTGCACATCTGGGAAAACAAGGATGGGGCATGCTTCTTCTGAGGAGCACTCCTTCCACCTAACCCACAGCCACACTCAAGATCCACTGTTCTTTGGAAATGTGGTGTGTGCTTTGGCTTTTGCTCTGTGTGTTCATCTCTCGTTGCTTTACCAGTGCTGATTTACCTACCTCCACAACTGTTTTACTCTGCTTTCCTTTTGCAAGCGGAGATTGGGGATTATGACCCAGGGAAACACCCTGAAGGCTACAGCTCCAAGTTCCAGTTTTTCCCGAAACATTCAGAGAAGCTGGAAAGGAAAATTGCTGAGATTCACAAGACAGAACTCAGGTATGTGATACTCAGTTGAGGCTCAGGACACTCTGTCCCCCACAGCCTGAGCATACAAGCCCCATGCTGCATCCTGACTCCGGGATGTACCATTTTCAGCATTGCACTGACAGCACAACCCCAAGCCCTATAGAGTAGGCTGAAGCCCAAGGGCAAGAGGGACATTGTATTGTAAGGAAAACAGAGAGAGATTGGCCTCTGAAAAGTATTCACGTTACTAAGATAAATGATGAGACAGAGGAAGAAGCACGGACTGGGGAAAAGGAAAAAAAAAAAAAAACATAAACAGCAGAAGGGAAAAAAGTGAGAGGAGACATATGAAACATGGGCAAGCCTCTGCCTTCAGTCTGTGACAGTGTGATAGGTGGCTTCTGGGTCAGGGGATGGGACTGTGCAGAGCTGGCCTAGTTCATGAACACTGGGGGTGCCCTGAGAGCTCTTGGTTCAGGGGCTGTGTCTTCAGCACTGCCTCACTCAACCCCACAGCACTGCACAGAAGGAAGGGGCAGAGAAGAGGCTGGAAGCAGGGGGCTTGTCCTCCTCAGATTCTTAGTTTTTTCAGAATATGCCACATTCCATAAAATAGCATTAATGTGTCCTTTCACCCACGTGAAATAGGATTTTCTACAAAGATTGATTTAAAGAAAAAAAAAGGCAACAATAGAGTGTATGGGCTCTACTTTGTGTGGCATTCTGGAGCACATATACCCCAAACTGACAAACTATGAAGAAAAAGGCCATATACACTGTAGCGCTGTAAAATAAAACATATTAGTACATTACAATTTTTAGAAATCTTTGTCAATGTTGGTGTAACTACCTTTCTGGGGAAGGATAATGCCGAAGTGGGGGGAAAGACATTTCTAGCGTTAATATTAAGTTTAAACTAGTTCCTACCCTGACTCCCTGAGCTCCCCCACCCCAAAACACAAAATCCTCACTTACACTCAGAATATTCTACCAAAATTATGTCCCTAAAACCTCCTTAGCCTTTGCAAGCAGACCGGCTGCCCAGAGCGTGTGGCAGGGACTGGCTCCCTCCCTCCCAGAGGAATGGAGACACCTAACAGAGGTAGAATCCTAGCAGCTCTCCATCCTTCTCCAGCCCCATCCCTCTCCCAGTGCTGGTGTGTCCTTGCCAAAGCTGGAGGGCTCCTCCCATCATTGTTAGGGAAACAGCGGCCCCTTGTGGTAAAGGTCAGAACAAACATCGACCTTTGAGAAGGCTCATGGTTTGTTCAAAGGAGACTTCAGGGCTGTCCTGGGACAGCCAAGAGGCGCTGCCAGGAGGGTTTTAGGAGGTGTGAGAGCAGTGGGGACAGTCATCCAGAAACCTAGTAGGAGACAGGGATCCCCCAGGAAATGATGCCCACTTTGAGGGCCCCGGAGGTTTGGGCCAACTCCAGGACTGGATGGAGCCCACAAGATCTTCCAGCTTCCAGACAGGGAATGAAGAAGCTCCCTGGAAGGGGCAGTGGTTCTCAGCTGCCCCTGGTGCCCAGCGTTCTGTCTGCCTCACAAACATTTCCCAGGCACCTTCTCTGCACCTCAGGTGCTCTGGCAGATGTAGGAATCTGCAGTCAACATAATGCCTACTTGCACGGGCTGGCTGCATCACTAGCATGTGGAAATGTGTGTTTCCTTCCTCCAACTCTAACATGAGCTCCTGGAAGGCCCAGATTGTGCATTGTATTTCTTGGTAGATTTTACACAAGCAACATGGAGACTTGCACATAAATGTGCTGATTGACACCCATCCAGAAGGACGCTAGGGAGAATCTGGCCTGCACCTCCTTGTCTTCCTGCACTTACCAGTATTACTCAAGACAAATAATGAACTTAGACATGAGCAGCTCAGTCCCACCCACCAGCCATCGGAGTCACTGTTGACTTGACAAATTGCCCACCCCTCCTCACACTGAAACCTACCCAACATCTGCAGGAGTGTGTCTGCTCCACCAGGGATCCAGACCCTGAGGGCAGCCAAGGAGACACTGCCACCTGTTCTGTGTGGAGCTCATGAAAGGACCTACTCACGAGGTAGCTGGGAAGGAAACGATGCTAGAGACCCCTTCCTAAGATGACTGGGCACCAGAGGTGCTTTCTTCCTTTCACAGTCATCACCCCATGGACAGACAGACCGCTATTGTGGTCGGGGGAGCTCAGCACTGTCTCCTGCTGTGTCTCTTCACCCTCCATTCCCATGTTCCCTGCTGGTAAAGGAAGAGGGTTGGGCAGCACCAGCAAGATATACAGGTCTCTGCTTTGTATTTCAGTCATAAGTCAAGACAAGAAACCCATGGCCTGCAGTCAGCCTACAAGTGTGTTTTGTTTGCCCCCGGAGTATTTAAAATTGAGAAATAGTACACAGAAATCAGTATCTCTGACTGCTCTTTGAAAAGCACATCCAGCGGTGCTCGGCCCTGCATTCCCACAGGACTAGTCTTAGAGCTGAGGAGCAGCTGCCCCCATTAGATGGGGTAGCACTTCCCGGTTTGCCATAGTGACCCCAACCCCACCACTCCCTACTGTACACCCCATGTCATTTATTATGTAGCTGGCCTCAGTCTGAGGACATCTGAGTTTCTGACCCCAGACAGGAGTCTCTGAAGCTGGTACTAGAATAGGGCAGGGAGCACACACTCTATGGGAAAATTGGACTATAAGGCTTACCCTGAGTGCTTTTTCTTTTTTTTTTAATTTATTTATTTTTGAGAGACAGAGACAGCGTGAGCAGGGGAGGGGCAGAGAGAGAGGGAGACACAGAATCAGAAGCAGGCTCCAGGCTCCAAGCTGTCAGCACAGAACCCGATGCGGGGCTCGAACCCACAAACTGTGAGATCATGACCTGAGCCGAAGTCGGACGCTTTAACCGACTGAGCCACCGAGGCGCCCCACCCTGAGCGCTTCTTAATGTAAAGTTTACCTCAGGAATCTAAGAGAACAGGAAACCCTGAAATCATCTCATTTCCTTTTATTCCAGTGGTCAAACACCAGCAACATCAGAGCTGAACTTTTTAAGAAAAGCACAGACATTGGAGACGTATGGAGTGGACCCTCACCCATGTAAGGTAAGACCCCTGTGGTCTGAGACCACTGACTTTGCCTCCTCCCAAGGGCAACAGGCAGGGAAGAAGCACATGCCTGCACCATCCACCTTCAGGATCTGGTTGATTGGCTCTTTTAGTGACAGATGCCAGAAAAAAAAAAAAAAATGTATCTCCTCTTGGAAACTCCCCTGGCTTCCATGCTGCATAATTTTGTGGTGCCACATCAATGTCGGAGGGTCCCAGGCAAAGTCAATCTAAATAACAAATCCAAAGCTGAGGCCCCACTTTGGCTGCAGTGGGTAATTTGGTGGAAATGAAGAGAGAGGATGTGGAAGTCCCCCCACAGGGAATGATCAGAGGCCGCTCAGCGGACTGCCCACCCTTCCCTGACCTGTAATCTAGTTTCTTTCCAAGAGCGGATTTTATTGACTGCAATAGCGTAAGTCACTGCGCGGAACTGCAGTGGAGTAGCATTTAATTCCATTATGCGCCTGGGAGGGTGAGACAGGAACCAGCCAGGGAGGCTCTGCCCAGAGGAAACCTCTGTAATTGCTCACATGTGTCTGGCATTCCGGAGAAGAGCTTAAGCAGCCACAGTCACTGTGGAGAGCAGCGGAGACACATGACCTCTTCCTCTCTCTCTCTGGCTGTGTCCCCCCACTTCATCTCCACATCCCAGTTGGTTTGACACTCCCGGTCTTTGCCTCAGTGTCCCCAGATTTTTGCCTCTCTCTTTCTAGTACTGGAGAGGCACCAGTACCACCAGATTCTGAAACTGATCTGAAGGAGCCAGTATCCCATGGGAGCAGGTGGGCATTGACCGTTTCTTCCTAATAGGTGAGGGAACACTAGAAGTTTCCAACAAAAATTAAAAGAACAGAATAGAAAGCAAGGAATCCAGTGATGTAGGGGCAGAATTGCATATCCCTTACCCTCTTGCTAAGGTGATGGTGACTTGTTCTTACATAGGATTTTATGCTGAAACTTCAAATAGGAACTTTTAGAACATTCTGGCAACTTAGAAACCCTGGTCACCTTTCCCACCCCACAGAGTTCCCTATTCACCAGCACAGCCTACTACCAGATAACCCCTGTGTTCTTGAGGGGGGCCAGCACTGTCAGAAAACACATTTATGCCTGTTCGTACCAAAAAAAAAAGAAAGATGATGCATAGTTATTTACAAATGATTTAGCAAAGCTTCCTAAATACTGCCCTTGCATGACAGATATAGTTTAACCTCCGTTAATTGCTCAGATACCATCGGTAGGGGGCCTGCATAGGACTGAAGAGGGCTTCATAGTCAGCTGACCTTGGCTCCAGCACTGATCTCTTGCTTTCTGAGGCCCTCACAGGCTTCTCTGAGCCTTGCTTTCCTCACCTGTGTGAAAGTACACAGCAGGTACTCAGTGACTGTGCTCCACGAACTGCTGAGTCACTTCAGGACCTTAAAAGCCATAGCTGCCTAGAGACAACTATCTTTATCATAAGGTGCCAGGTCACCTCCAAACCTGCCTGGGCCCCTTGAGGCCACACAGGGCATCCACCTTTTCAGAGGTGTGTCCCTGGGTGAGGCTGACATCTGACAGCAGAGTGGGCAGATAGATGGTAGACAGTGAACCTGAGTACAACTGAGCAGAGGTGGGAGGGATTCTCCACTTATGTGCCTAAGTGGGTCTGAAAGCTACAGTGGCAGCCAGCCTGGTGTCCAGCCCAAGTCCATGTGCACCCTAGGACTGTGGGGCTCCTGGCTCAGCCCCATCTGTGATGAGTTTGCCCATTATTGGACACAGGCTGAAGAGGCTGCAGGAAGAAACCCCTATTAATGCCAGGCACTGTGTGAGGCCCAGTCCCTCACATCATTCCATCCCCACGGCATCAACTCAAAGAAGGAAGGAGGGAACAAACATTTGTGGCATGCCTTCCATGGCAGACCCCCTGGAATCCTTTCACGTTATTTTCTCATTTAATCCTGTCAGCCCTGGGAGGTGGATCTTACTCTTCCTGGCTTATAAGTAAGAAGACAAAAGCTCCAGGAGACAATTTACAAGGCCCTGAGCAGTAGAACAAGAATTTGAACTCAAGTCACTTCCCCGTTGTTATATATCTAGGAGGAACAGAAGCCCCCAGGAGACTCCCCCTGGGGAGATGGTGGGCACGATCATTGCACTGGGCTTCCAATCCCTGGTTCCCAGGCCCTATACTTCTTGCTCACCCAGAGCCAGGACCCTGCTGCAGACCCCACACAGGGTCCCTCAGCTTGTCTCTACTGAACTGCAGCTCATGCTTTCCTTAGGCCTGCTGAGCAAGGACGGTTCAGGAGCCTTTACTCTTGTCATTAAGTAGGGTTACTTTGGTGATATGCTACTAGGCACTCGCCTTAATGTTGCTACAAGGAGAGCTGAAATAAGCTGGAGCACTCAGTGTAATAAATACCGATGATTTCTATTAACAGAGAGGCAATTACTGGGCCCAGGGAATCTGGGGCACACAGCCCTAGGGAGGACAGAAGAAGAGGAATCGTTTTGATAATTAAATGAGAGTAGAACAAGGCTTCAGCTGGGCTCTATTCTCCTGGACTGATTAAGAAGCTGCTGTTCTTCCTGTCCACACTGGTTTCTTTCTGCCCAAAGTGTCCTTGTCTGGCCCTGGGACCAGGAAGACAAGATCCTACCGACTGTGGGTGGGACAGGCAGAGGGCTCCAGCAGCGGGCTGGCTTACAGTAATACCCAGGCTCTGAACTTGCACACGCTGTCCTGAGCTCTCTGCATCTCCCCTCAGACCCCATCTCCTCCTGACAGGAGCCCCCAGAAGACCAAGCCTGCAGCCTAGAGCAGGAGACTGGAGCAAACCCCTGGCAGCCCAGTGCTGCATTTGTTCCAGCTCTGATACCTCTCCAACCTCAGGAGCTACCATCTTGTTCCTTCCTGGAGCCCCTGGGACTGGTTGTTTGCCCTGGATCTCCTGTAGGCCCAGACTGTGGCTTCTTACCCTCTTGAGGTTTATATAGTAGCCAGACCCATCACAGACACCCAGCCTGTACCCAGCCTTATCATGAGTCATGAAAGTGCCATCTACTGAGAGCCTGCAGATGCCAGGCACTTACATATACGATCTCATTTCATGTTTATAACGATACTGCCAAGAAGATGTTCTTGTCCTCAAGATAAGAACACTGAGACTCTGAGGGACCAACTAACATGTGCAGAGTTACTGGTAAGGGCAGTACTCGGACTCGAACCCAGGGCTGTCTGAACACCTCAGTGCTGTGCTTTTTCAGTTACCATTCCTGGTCTTCCTTCTGGGTAGATGGCATTTATTTAGGAACAAAGCAGGACTCACTACCAACTCTGGTAGAGGACCTACGACACTACTGAAATCACCGTAGAAAAATTTAACGTAAGTTCACCAAGTGACTTTATGTCTGTCCTGTACAGACCAGGAGAAAATTGATTTCAGCAGGATCTAGGTTAGAGCAACCATACAAATAAAATTACAGCTTCATTCCTCTGACCTTAAATAGGATCATTAATTTCATAATCAGCCACCTACGCTCCTCTCTAAATAAACTCCCTTTCCCATCTTGACAAGTTGCCTCTGACCTCAGAGAAACAGACGAAAGAAGGATTGGTGATGACTAACCCTCATCCCCCAGTGGGCCCCTCTTGGCTGCACTGTACAGAGAATGGTGGGCTTACTGCTGAGATGGCTTGACTAAAGCCACTTACATGGCAAGTATATGCCAAGATTTCCATTTCTGATCTTTCATGGGGTGATGCCAAGGCTCTTAAAGGGCTGCCTCCTAATTTCCATTCTATGTAGTTTCTTGGGACCATGTTTAAGTATACTAAAACTGGGTGATTTTCATGACTGATTTAATGTAAGGTTCCTAGCTATAAGCTTTCAGGGATGGGTGTAAGTGTGTGGAAGACCATGTGGAATCTTCTTCCCTGTGGTTTTTAAAATAGAGGTTTCATCTACCCATATCGAATTAGTTTAAGTCATACTCCAGAGAGGGGATTGGATGATCTCGAAAGAATGCCCTGGTTCTGACTCTGGCATACCCAGGATGTCCTCCAGGGCAGCAGTAGACAGAAGGCTGCTTCGTTGTATCCCGAGGTGGAACCCATGGGGACTGGGCAAAGGTGGCCAGATGTCCCTACTTCCCAGAACCAGTCAGTTGCTGTGATTTCCAAAAGTCCTTTTCTGGGCAGAGCTATCATCTTAGGGTGAGCCTTTGACGACATCGAACTGATGCATGTCGAGTTTCATGGTGGTTTCTACTTGAACATGTGAAAGGAGTCTGTGCAAATCCAGCCCCTCCAAGAGAAACCACTGTTGGCCATGTCTTGGCAATAAGTTATTTAGGCCATCACCCTAAAATCAGAAAGAAGCAGTATTTCTTAAAGTATGTATTATGGCCCTCGTTTGAGAAATGAGGAAATTGAGTCTCAGAGAAGTTAAGTCACAGAGTAAATAAGAAGCTAGGCTAAATTCCTAAGCCAAGAATGAAGCTCTTTCTACAAGGATGAAAAACTGAAAATGAATTTCGTACCTCACAACTGTAGAAGTGAACCAAATACTTTAGACCATTATCTGATGTACAATGGGGCTGGCAATATCTGCTGTGTGGCTGTCAAGACGCAAGTTTTTATTCCACCTTTTGGATCCATTAATGTTCAGTCCTGTGGGTCCTGATCTCGTTGGGATGGGAAGGGAACAAAGAGGAAAGATAGCCTCCAACTTGATAACACGGAAGATCTGAGGAACAGGTTACCACTTTCTGTGTCACATCTCTCCTCGTCCTCATTTCCTTCTCTTCTTGTCATATAACTTGTCCTTTGCACACAAATCCCATGAGAATAACATGTTAGTGGAAGAAACCGGGAAGGCTCTGGAGAAGGTGTCTATGTGGCTGCAGGTTTGTGTTTTTGTGCTGGTACAGATGTGAGGCTTTTCTCTGTAATTCCAGGTCCTGCTCCTCACATGCCACAGATAAGAAGCAAACCTTCCAGCTGCCCTGGCCCCTGTAGACACACAGGTGCCCAGCTTTGCAGCAGCCCTCATCCACAACATTGCATTGGAAGCAGTTTGAAAAACTGATCTCTCCATGTGAGAGACTGGATTGGGATTGCTCAAGGTGCTATTATTACTTACCGGAATGATGTGGCATCTGATTGGGGTTTATTCTCAGTTTGCTCCCTGTTCTGAATCAGTCAGTCTGATCAGGAGAGGCTTTTCCCTCTTTAACTCCAACACCTGCCTTCACCCAGAGGCCAGCCCTGAGATGTCTGGACGGTGCAGATGGACAGTGCCAACAGACAGCCTGGCCAGTTCTTCCCAGCTTGTGGGAGGACCCTCTGTGCTATGGCCAGAGAGGCCTGTCACTGGGACGACCCTCAGGAATCTGTCATAGCTTGTCTCCTTCCTCTTCTGCCCGCTTCACTTTTACCCCAAATCCCAAATGGATCACCCAAATCCCCCTTCTCCATGGGCCCCCAACATTGAGTGACTTCTCTCTTTCTACCTCAACTTCCCACACCCTCATTTCCTAACTAGCAAAAATTAAATCCATCAGTGTCAGGAAAAATAGTAAAATACTACATTAAAAAAAAAAAAGATTTGGGGCGCCTGGGTGGCGCAGTCAGTTAAGCGTCCGACTTCAGCCAGGTCACGATCTCGCGGTCCGTGAGTTCGAGCCCCGCGTCGGGCTCTGGGCTGATGGCTCAGAGCCTGGAGCCTGTTTCCGATTCTGTGTCTCCCTCTCTCTCTGCCCCTCGCCCATTCATGCTCTGTCTCTCTCTGTCCCAAAAAAATAAATAAACGTTGGAAAAAAAAAAAAAGACTTTGTATTAAGTGCAACAAACTCATATTAACACGACCCCTAGCATGTACTGAGTGCCTACTAAGCACAACCTAAGACGTAGATAGTGTTCTCAACCCTAATTTTACAATGAGGAATGTGAAACATGGAAAAATGAAGGGACAGGCAGTGAGGGGCCAAGCCAGAGCCTGGGTCTGCGTGGCCTGACACAGGACCCATGACGCTATGGTCACGGCACAGGTGCTCCTCTGCCCTGTTACCCGCGTGGGTCAGGAGTGCAAGAAGCAGGTGGAGGCCCTTCCCCTCCCTATTCCTTACCCAGGATTTCTAGCCACCCACAGTCCTCTGCTGACCTGACCCTTTCTTTCCATCCTTCCACCCATTCTTTCTAGGCCTTTCCTAGACACTGTAAGACACTGTAAATTGCCCTCCCTACCTCCACTGCACCTGTGCCTTCCTCTCCTGTTTTTGCTCACATGTGTACTCCCCTACCCCCAGCCCCTCTGGCCCACCTCCTTGTCTTACACATTCATCTGATAAATATTTCCTGGAGCCTGTCCTGTGATTATGAATAAGGCAAGGCTTCCACCCTCTCAAGTCTCTGTCTTTTTTCCTGGACTTTGTTGGGTCCTGCCTGCACAGTGGGCAGATGTATCCAACATAGGCAAACCTGCTGGGTTAGCATGGGTGCCCTGGCCAGGGACCATGTTTTTGTGCAGTGCTGGCACTCAGGTATTAATAACCACCACCAAGGACTGATGACAGGCAGGAGGAAAACCAGCCCTGTGGCTTCATAGTATCTCCATTCAGGTTATTTTTAAACAGCTTTTTGCTGTTGCCCCTGGGTTGAAGGACATTGTGCTTGCAGCCAAGTGTCGGGGTCACAATAGACCCTGAGGAAAGGACAATACTAACAATACATTAAGTGGAAATGTTTGCAAAACATATACTTAATTTATTCCCTGGGCCCAGACGTTCATACCCGGAACCTGACTCTAAAGAGTTTTAAGACAAAACTGCATTTCTTCTTTGGGTCAAGGCTCATGGGGCCCTGCCCAGGCCTGCTTTTTATTCTTAGACCTGATCAGACTGAGTATGTATGCCAAGAAGCCAAAACTTGAAAGTGGGAAAAACTAGGAAAGCCTGACAGCCATAGCCCCCACTTGGATGCCTCATACTAGGTGCCTGACCCTATTGCACCATATGAGCTATGGCTCAGACAAATGTCCTACATGCACGTTTGACCAACATCCTGGCATAATTTTCTGGCCACTTGAGCACATTCACACGCTGACAGAGCAGTTTCTCCCCTCAGGTCCCTATCGCAAAGAAAGTTCCTCAGAGAGAGCACAATCCATCAACCTGCTTTCTGTGCCCCATGCCAGCCTGGCCCTCATGGCGCTCATTTCCTATGTGAGACAGCCATGACGTACAGCTTCTCCCCTCTTGGCTCGGCAGAACCTCAAGCCTGGTATTTACAAACTGAGAGTCACCAGTACAAACTGATAGTGACCAGTGGTCAGGAGGCCTCTTTGATGGTTCAGGCACCACAGGATTGACCGTGGCTATTCCCCATAGCTGCTTGCTTCATATCTTTTCTTTAGCTAAACTTTGTGAGGGAGCCCAGTGTGTAGGGCCATTGTAATAATAACCGCCATTCATTCTCTGTCTCTCAACAGCTTTTTTGAGATATAACTCACATATGGTAAAACTCATCCTTTTAAAGTGTGTAATGCAGTAGTTTTAGTTTTAGTAACAGAGTTATGCAGTTACCACCACGAACTTTAAAACATTTTCATCTCCCCAAAAAAGAAACCTGTATCTATTAGCTGTCGCTCCCTATGTATCTCCCCTTCCCCACAGCCCTGGCAACCAGTAATCTTTTGTCCCTGTGGATGTAGATGTACCTATTCTATTCTGTACATTTCATACACATGGAATCCTACAACATGTGATCTTTTGTGCCTGGCTTCTTTCACCTAGCCCGATGTTTTCGAGGTTCATCCACATTATAGCAGGTATCAGTACTGCGTCCCTCTTGCTGCTGAGTAATATCCCACTATATGTATACACCACATTTTCACTCATTTATCAGTTGATGGACATTTAGATTGTTTCCACTTTTTGGCTGTTATGAATAATCCTACCATGAGCATTTACATCCAGGTTTCTGTGTGAATGTGTGTCTTCAGTTTTCTTGGGTACCTAGGAGTGGAACTGCTGGGCCGTATAACAACTCTTTTTAACAATTTGAAGAAGTTAACTACTTTCCGAAGCGACTGCACCATTTTACAATGTGTGAGGGCTTGCCATTCTCTTTGGATATTCACAGCAGCCTTCTAAGATTAGTTACAACTTACATTTAAGGGCACTGAGGCTTAGGGAAGGTGAGTAGCTTGCCTGTTATATCCAAGTGCTCCTCCCTCTGTGACCTACTCCCAAACATTACCCCTGTATCACTGATGAACAACTGCGTTTCTCGCCCTTTCACCTACATGCCTATGTCATCCTGATGAGAGGTCTTTCTGTGTTGCAGGATGTGTCAGGAAATGCTGCATTTCTGGCCTTCACTCCTTTTGGGTTTGTCGTTCTGCAAGGAAACAAGAGGGTCCACTTCATTAAATGGTGAGTATCTTCATTTCCAAAATGGGCTTTTTATACGTCACCAACTGGGGAGGGCTATGGTTCCCACGTCCTTTGTCTGTGATTGGGCAGTTATGGTTCTGAGCCCTCTCCAAAGCCTTGCGTCCATAATGATAACTGATCGAGGTAGTGGTCTCTGCCTAGGGATCCTGTTCTTCCAAAGAGGTGTTCCTGAGAGCCAACAGTCTCTCCAGAGAGACAAAGAGTGTGGAGGGTGATTTCTAGGTAAGATGAAAGACCTGGGGCTGCAGCCAATGTTAGGGAAGCAAAGTCCTTGGGACTGTCCCCCACTGAGGGCCATTGCATCCGCATGGGTGCTTACCTCCTTACCCACTGGCCTAAAGAAGGAGGGGCTCACCCCTGGGGCAGATAGAAGTTATCCTGCACCCTCCGTGGGCCAAGCCCCACTTTGGGCACTGCCTGCACAAGCATGGATGCTGCTCTATCTCCCTTCTGTCCCTCTTTAGGCTGTAGGTGTCTTCAGCCTCCAGGAGTCACATCCCCACCCTTGCTCCCCTCTCCCTTCCTCCACTCCCATTTCTAGCAGCTAAGAGCCACTACCTCAGCTGAAGCTACTCTGAACTGCTTCCTCTCCACCCTGTGAGTTCAGGGTCTATTCTAAATGGATCTGGGAGCCGATGCAGCACAGACTGGCTTGTTGATGGATATTTGGCTCTCCTGGAGGCCCCTTTTCTGGACCATGCAAACATCTTTCAGCCTCATCAGAACATGCTGTATGTTGTACTAAGCCCCTGTGATTTCTGTACCTTTCGGCCTTAGACTGCCGAGTCTAAGCTGGCCAACTCCTCCCATGGGCTTGAACAAATGGCTTACCTTACCCAACAGAGCTCGGCTGGGGAAGCTTGCTCTGGTCTTCAGTCCTTTGCCTTCTCCAGAAGAGCTGATGGGGAATCTGAGGACAAAGCTGCTTCCTGGCGAGCTCTCTACTGGGGTTTGCTGCAAGGTGTCTATCTTCTTGTGTCCTCTTGAGCTCCCCCACCAAGCTTGTGGACAAACGCCACCTTTCCAACCCCATCGCTCTTGTGCACAATGGTAATTTGATCATCAACCAGAGTGCTAGTGAAACTGCCCCCCACCGCCAGACATGACCACCCAGGTCCCATTCCCCCAGGAAAACAGCCACTTCACAAGGCAGTTTGCTGCACTGAGTAAAAGGGTACACCCCAACGCATCTGTTTGCTAGGCCTTCTGAAGTTGGCCCACTCACTGTGCTCTCTGGGTGACAATGGTGAGGATTTGGGGTCTGCTGTCCAACAAAATACTTTTCACAAAAAGACAATGAGTAGGGTCAGGGCACCGCTCTCCCAGTGAGGAACCCTTGCTTCCTAGATATAGCTGGGTTGTCTGATGTTCCTTAGATGGCCCAGATCCTGGCCCACACTCTGACCAGGCCGCCTGTCTCATGAGGTCCCTGGTAGGAGGCATGTGTAGCTAGAAACAAGTAGGACACACCTGTTCAGGGACCTGGAGTCCCTAAAGTATCCTTCCCCATCCAGAAGCCCTGATGCTCACCTGATTCTCCCACAAACTTTTCATTCTGTGGCTTCTCTCATATCACACTTCTTCAGGAAGTCTGCTTTTCATTGTGTCTCAATTTTAAAATAATAGATATAAAACCCAACTTCACTTCCAATAGAAACTCTCCCACTTTCCTATCTGGTTTGTTGAAGCCTAGATGATCGGTGTGTTCCTTTCCATATTAATCAATTGATATTTATTGTATTCTGTATGTGTATGAGGGTGACTGATTGATTGGGAGGGAAATCAAACAAGGAAGGTATACCATGTGCTTGTATTAGCTCAGAACTGGTAGTCAGAGTTGTGAGCTCTCATACTTACTCACCCATGATTTCCAGGAAACAAGTGACCTTCCTCTGTCCCCTCAGTTTTGGCCAGTAGTAAATTGGGTATGTGGTTCTCACTACCTTTCTGCTACTTCCTAAGATATTGAGGAAATCTCCCTAGAAATTACAAAGAGGAAGAAATGAAGTGGAGACAGATAGGCCTGATCAGACCTTCTTGGGGGTCCCAGTTGGGTACAAAAATAAGGACTCCACCCCCAGTGAGATGGGAGGGCCTTCAGGCTCCAAAGGGCAGCTATGTCAGGCAAATGGAAGAGAAGTAAGGAGTGATTGATCCTAAGGCCTAGCTCTCTGGCTCTCAGGGACATCCGCCTAAGACCCCTGTCATTTTTCCTTTTTGTAAATGTAACCAAGGCTGAGAGCAGTATGTGAAGGTGAGGTCTAAGCTGTGCCATGTACAGTAACCATGTCACTTCTTCTGATTTGTGTCTGTCCCGCGGGTGACGTACCCCAGTATCCTGTTTGCCTCTTTTACTGCAGCCATTCACTGGGCTGGTGGCTTCAAGGATTTTTCTACAAAAACCCCTAAGCCCCTTTCCTGGTCAGTACGCTGCATGACTGTTCCATGTAATCTGTTCTCTCTCTTTGGTATGTTGCCCTGCCCCCCTCCCTGAGATCGTTTGACATTTGTTTGCATTAAACTGCATTTTCCATCCAGTGGCACAGTCACCTGAAAGACTCAACTCCCTCAGAACCTGGTTGCATTGTTTTTCATTATTTGCTGTATCTTGAACTTTGGCCTCATCAGCTACCTGTGGCATCTTACATTTGACAATCCCATCCAGATAATGCACCTGCATTATGAACCAAATCCTGAAATGGCCCGGGACCTCTCAACCTAGACTTACTTCCCATACAAACATTTCCCTTTTACAGCCACTGTTGATGAGCCCGAAATCCTCCTATCACCCTATTATTATGGTGTGATTGACCAGAAAACTGTGGATTGAACTGTTTCAGCAACTGTTCTCTAAAGCCACTGCGCTGCTGTCTTGTTTCAGTTCTAATTTTGGCTAAAACTGTGTCTGTGCCTGGAGCCCCTTCCAGTCAGGGTGGGCTGTGCATCTACGAGACTTAGCTGTGAACAAGCAGCCCACGACAAGGTGACAGGTGTTCTCTTTGTGCTTGTAGGAATGAGGTGACCAAGCTGAAATTTGAAGGAAAGACTTTCTATTTATACGTAAGTCAGAAAGAGGTGAGTGCTGGCTTCTTTCTCTTCAGGGAGGGCTGGGGCACTGGGTGGTTTCTGATGGCCAGGGCTCAACCAAAGTGGCATATCCAGGTTAGAACTAAGCCACCTGAATGAGAAGCAGAGACCTGGAGGTGAGGGATGGAGAAATGGCCAGGCCCTGGAGCCCAGGACCTCCTCAGGGATGCTAGTGACACCCGGAGGTTCCATACCTCCAAGAAATGCAGACAGTGAAAGGTTCTTTTGCTTCTATAGGAGCATTCCAAGATAACAACTTTTTAAATTTTTTTTTTTCAACGTTTATTTATTTTGGGACAGAGAGAGACAGAGCATGAACGGGGGAGGGGCAGAGAGAGAGGGAGACACAGAATCGGAAACAGGCTCCAGGCTCTGAGCCATCAGCCCAGAGCCCGACGCGGGGCTCGAACTCACGGACCGCGAGATCGTGACCTGGCTAAAGTCGGACGCTTAACCGACTGCGCCACCCAGGCGCCCCAACAACTTTTTAAAAGGAAGTTAATGCAGACGACAGGAGCACTTTCTCTGGGGAGGGCTCTCTTGGTTTTGAGTCTGTGGCAGCTGAGGCTTATTGTGATTGGACCTGCCCAGTGTGAACTTAGTCATTGAACTGAGCTCTGCCCCGGCGGGTCCTGCAGGCCTTCTCGTCCAACTGGCCAGCTGCCAGGAAGTCCCTTCCCCTATCTGAAACCTCTTCCTGAAGTCCTGGGGAGCCCTCAGACAGCCCAGGGGTCAGGGTCCTGGCCTACTTCATCCTTCGCTTCTCCACCTGCGCTCAGCTGTTTCTATGTGGGATTTTTTTGTAGGAAAAGAAAATTATTCTCACATATTTTGCTCCAACTCCAGAAGCATGCAAGCACCTTTGGAAATGTGGAATCGAGAACCAAGCCTTCTACAAGTGAGTGGACACATGTGATGGGGACTATCTTTATCAGAGCCAGAGTCATAAAAGCTACTTTTTAGAGGAATGATGGGCAGGAAAATTTGAGAAACACTGAGAAAGGAGACATAAGATGACAAGGCTGGCACTCCTTAATAAAACAGACCCCTTTCTGGATGTCTGTACTCCCAGGATGGATAGAGCTGAGGGCAAGGAATGTGTTTCAGCAGAGATACCCGAGGGATCTACCTTGTGATATCCTTGCACAGCTCCCAGTGGCAAAGCAGTGAGGGGTCTTTTCAGGGCAAAGCTTGGGCCAAAAATAGCTCACAGGTACCTGACTTGAATCAGGTTGGCCCTGCAGAGCCATTCAGAGCCATAGAAGGCCCAGAGTACAACGCTTCATGAAGGAGCAGCAGGTGCAGCCCAGGGCAATTCCCTAAGCCTTGGGGAAACTCTGGGGCTTGCTCCCCAGTGGGTGCCCTAGTGCTGAGCTGGGGTTGATGCCAGACCTTCCCAGTGTGCCACTGCCAGAGGTAGTGCCAGTGACAGAACAAGTGCCCAGGAGCCTGAGTGGGGTAGCTGGAAGAAGGGCAAGGACTTGTCTGTTAGTGAAAAGTCAGCTTTGGGGCAAAAGCAAGAATTTGGATTATCACAGGATTTATAAAGTATATGAGGTTTCTGTGCTATTTTCTTTGATTAAGAAAGTGGTTATAAAGGCATTAGGGAACAAATAAATAGCCCATTGAGAAACTGGGGTGATGGCAGATAACTGTTTCACTAAAACCCTTGGTCTTGTTTTTAAAATAGAATGCAATGATTTATGATTTAATAAGCTAGATCTTAATCAGGAAAACATAAGACAAAGTTTGTGGTATATTCTGCCTCTGACAAGCCATAGTTCTCCCTCCAGTAACCTCCAGGACCCTGAAGAACTGCTCTGAGCTAGAGGGGCACCATCCTCCTCCCCAGGGAAAGGCATTGCTGCCTGCTGGCTGCTACGGGGTGTGGGCTGGCAGAACTGGGCCTCCTTCATCTAGGGCCACAGCTCCAGAGGCTGTTTCTTGGTCAGGCTTTCTGAATTGCTTAATAGTTTCTATGCATTTGATACCAGAATCAGGGATGAACTGAATGGGCAGCCTGAATTATAATCTAAGTCGGCTTCTTTCATTTAAAGAAGAGGACACTCAGAAAAGGCTGCCACATGGTCAAATTTCCCTCTTGTTCAGTCCATGGCTGTCTGAGAGAAGCCAAGAAAACATGTCAGCACCATTTTTGGAGACCTTTGTTTTTCTGTTTGTGTCATGGGAACAGAACTGTGCTTCTGAACCTGTGACCAAATTCAGTTTGAGTCGTTCTGTTAACAAATCCCCACACCTAACTAGCCCTACCAAGACCCACACTGGAAACTGAGGCTGTTTTTCACATTTCTACTGATTACTTGATGTTCTCTAGTAAGTGTTAAAAGCCTCTAGCCTGGGTCAGATCCCCAATTATGCCAAGTCTTAGCAGCAGCCACTTTGGCATCACTCTGATCATGTTTTACACACAAATCCCTGGCACTGCCTTTGGCCTAGTGCTTTGAAAGAAGCCGGGTCAGACTCAAGGACATGTTCAGGCAGGAGGGCAAGTAGGCTTACAGCCTCACAGAGCCCTGAGACAGGTGCACATGGTCTCCCAGGAACTGCTATTCATGGATTTTGGGGACAACTCCCTACATACTGACTGCCTGCTCACGACAGAGGCTTCAGACCCAGATCAGTTCCTGGCTAGATCAGCACTACAGGCACCTCAGGGCATGTTGTAAGCGGAGTCAGATGGGTTGGGAGGCCTCACTCTGGGCAGCTCTGCTCACCTTCCTTTATCTAAGGGTGAGAGGGCCATCTGGGATCAAAGAAGTCACCTAAGAGGATATTTTACAGTGCCCATGGTCTTCCAGAGTCTCCACACCAGCTGTCCACAGCCTTGAAAGTGATATTAATAGGTATTCTGGGAGAAGAGGGATGATTCCAAGTTCAAATAAAAGATGGAACTTGTATTAAAGTTAAGCTAGTTTGTCCATTTCAGGACTTCTTAGAGTCTTTACTATGATAACCTACTTTAGGACTCTCCAAGAGGGAAATGGAATAGGGAGGGCAGCCCCTACTCTCTCCTCTGCCCACAATTACCCAGACATGGAATCATCAAATACTAGGACTGGAAGGGACTCCTGAGGTCAAGTAGTCCCAGCTCTGTCATCCTGTAGATAAAACAACTAAAACTAAGGAAGAAAAAGAAATTTGCCCAAGGTCATACTGCTAACAAGTGTCCTGCGATTTGACAGGCAGCATTCTATTATTCCCCCAGGCCATCACCCCTAACATTTATTCTCAGTCCCCCTGGCCAACCCCATGAAGCACTCTTGGGGAGCCCTCGCTCTCCTGACATGAAAATGGGTTTCAACATGACTGTCCCCAGCACTGAGGCTGTGAGCAAACCCTCAGGTCCTAAAGGAGAGTCAGAGACAAGCCAGACTGTGAAGGTCCTTTTCCTGAAGAGTTTCCTCAAGTAGCCTTTGGAAGGAGCTGGGAATGCGCTGCCTTAGCCCATGAAGCAGTTGCAGGCCATCTGTCACACTGGACTTTGCCTTGCTGCAGGCTGGAGAAGTCAAGCCAAGTCCGCACAGTGTCCAGCAGCAATTTATTCTTTAAAGGGAGCCGGTTTCGATACAGGTAAATAGTGACAGTAAGTAACTGTTATGGACCTATTTTTAGACCCCTCTCTGGAGAACAGTGGCTCAGTGGTCCTTATCCTTGAGAACAAAGGAACTGGGAACCTCCAAAAAAGCCTGAGGTTTCTATCCAATTCTCCTTGTCTCCTAACCCTTTGACTATTTCTTTCCTTCCCTGCCACAGTTTGTCTGCAGGGCTTAAAATATATATCTTCTTCTGCCCTCACAACAGCAGTGAAATAAGAACTGTACCAGTGATTCTTTTCATGTCTGTCTAAAGATTTTTTTTTTTTTGCAATATTTCTGGAACATGCTGGACAATGAGCAATCATTTCTAAATGAAAATGGAAGATACCAAAGACTCCAGAGATAGTTCTCTAAGCTAAGCTATCAGGACATGTAAGAACTTAACCTAGCAAGCCAGCTTTTTTCAGTGACCTAAACATTGGGAAGGACTAGGCCAAAATGGCCATTGCCCAGTCATCCAAAGTATCTGAAATCTTAGACAGGAGCCCAGTGCTGGAACACCATCTAATCCCTTTCTGTTTGTTTTATTATACTATTTATAGTGGCCGAGTTGCAAAGGAAGTAATGGAGTCGAGTGCAAAGATCAAACGGGAGCCACCAGAAATACACAGGTAGGCTGCCAGGGACTTCCCCCGCAAAACGAGTTGCAGTTCAGATCTCAGAATCTCCAAAAAGGCAGCAGTTCCAGTACTATGACCACTCTGGGCACAATGGCTCACAAAAGGGAAAGGAGAACACGATAGGAAAGTTCCCCATCTCAGCTAAGAGCATGGGGAACAGTCTAGGCACCTGCGTGGCTCAGTCGGTTAAGTGTCCGACTTCGGCTCAGGTCACGATCTCACAGTTCGTGAGTTTGAGCCTCGCATCGGGCTCTGTGCTGACAGCTCAGAGCATGGAACTTGCTTCAGATTCTGTGTCTCCCTCTTTCTCTGCCCCTGTCCTGCTCTGTCTCTCTCTCAAAAATAAATAAACATTAAAAGCATGGGGAACAGTCTAACCCTGGTATCCCTGAGCCTTGATGAAGAACGAGGGAGGGCACAGTACCCAGTACCACCTTCCTGGATACTTCTCTGTGTCCTCCCAAATCCTAAAAGTGGCCATAGACCACGGAGGGCATGTCCAAAATGCAAGATTGCCTTGTTTCTGGAATCAACCAATTACAGAAAGCCAGGGATCACCCCACAGTCCTGTCTCACTAGGTCTAAAATAGTTTTGAGATCCTTGCTTCAGGTATAACTGTACATCATGCATATCTCCTAAACCTAATAAGATCCAGAAAGAATATTAGCCAGGACAGCTAGGGTTCATCAACCAGCTTGACCTCTGGGAATGGGAGCATTATTACTGCCTTCACACGGCACCCCTTGGAGCAGCAGTCTCTGTCAGCAGTCAGAGGAGGCTGCCATATGGGTTTTCAGGCACATTTTCAGGAGTCCTGGGGCTCTACTCCCTGACAATCCTGCCCAGAGACGAGAGGCACCACTGCTGCACTAAAGAAAGGTTCAGGTGGGTCTGGGATATGAGGAGGTGGATGAGTTTGAAGCAGTGTCTCTGATGGGGATCCAGGGACTAAAGACAAAAAAAAAAAAAAGTTTTAAGATTTTTTTAAATAAACAAACAAACTTAACAGAGCCAGGCAATTCTAGTAGCTACTCCTCAACTCTGAGTCCTGATCCCATCTGTTGTGTGCACTGAATTAACACAGTTCTCTTTTCATTTAACCTCAGAGCAGGGATGGTTCCCAGCCGCAGCTGTCCCTCCATAACCCATGGCCCAAGGCTGAGCAGTGTCCCTAGGACCCGGAGAAGAGCTGTTCACATCTCCATCATGGAAGGTGAGCAAAAGCTCTGGAGATGACCACAGCGTTCCTCCAAGTTTTGACTTGGACCCGTTCCTCTCAGGGACCTTGAAAAGAAGTGAATGCAGCAGAGACAGCAGCACTTTTCTCCAATGGACCGGAGAAGGTTTTGTGTAGTGGATGGGAACACCAGCTAGGTTTCAGGTGAAGGGTAATCCCACCCAGCCCTGCTGAGCTGTAGTCCAAGAGGGGATTTAGATCTGAGAGTGTTGGGGTAGACCTCTGGGAGGCTATGTATGTTGCATATGCCAGGTTCCTTGCAGTTCTGAAATTGCTTTCCATCAAGAGGCTTTTCACTTGTTTTTCAGATCAGACCAGTCTCCACAGGTTAAACAATCAAGGTGACTGAGGCAGTTAACCAAGAAATGAAAAACTCTTGGTTCTGAAGCACTCCAGTATTTGCTACCACCTTCTATTTCAGTTGTAGAAAGCTCTCCTCTTGCTATCTGAATTCTTTAATGTGATCTCAGGAAATCTAACATGCCTCACCTCTCTCTACCCTTCCCTCCCTTTGGAGGAGGCTGCAGTGGGGTGGAGTGGGGTCGGGGGGAGGCGCAGGGAGACAAAGTCTGTGTATCTTCACTGAACTACATATTGCAGTAGCTAAGGCTGATACCTCTCTAGTCCCTGGGTAGTTAATATTGTTAGGAGACTCTCAGAATATTGGCCTCATTGTCACTGACTGACCTGCCCCCAGGCTGGATATAGGTATAAGTCGAGTGCTTTTACTCCCAAAGATGGATGTTTTTGTAGGACCACAGATCTCAAGCAGCAGCGAACAGCAGCAGGTTTGCTTCAAACCTATCCTGGAAGGTGGGGAAGGAAGACTTTTTGCCCTTTCTGTGGGAATGCTGATGAATGAAAATAACCACGTAGGTTAGGAAGGACATCATTCCGCTGCTCCCCTGTGAGGATCATGGGTTTGTGTTTAGGATTTTATGTGTCCCTGACTTTGCATTACCTAAATCTGGTATAGAACTACAGTCTAGGGGTTGAGAACCCTGGCTGAGAAACCACATCAAGTACCTTAATTATTTGAGTATGTTAGTTGTTCTTTTTGATTTTTGTTTTGTTCTGTTTTTAAGTTTATTTATTTACTTAGAATCTCAAACACCCTCAGCACAGAGCCCAACGTGGGACTTGAACTCCTGAACCGTGAGATCATGACCTGAGCCAAAATCAAGAGTCGGACGCTCAACCGACTGAGCCACCCAGGTGCCCCAGTTGTTCTATTTGTAAAGTAGGGATACCTTCCTTGTGTCCCCATTGAGTTGTAAGGAAGCTGATGTACATGGAAGTACTTGAAAGAGATTAAAGCACTGGGGAGCCGGGGTGGCTCAGTCGATTAAGTGTCCAATTTCAGCTCAGGTCATGATCTCGCGATCTGTGAGTTTAAGCCCCATGTCAGGCTCTGTGCTGACAGCTCAGAGCCTGGAACCTGTTTCGGATTCTGTGTCTCCCTCTCTTTCATAAATAAACATTAAAATAAAATTTTTTTAATAGAGATTAAAGCATTTACTAGACAGGCAGCAAGCATAATGCAAAGAGGCCTGGTCAGGAAGTAAAAGGTGAGATTCAAATCAGAGCTCACCATGTATTTTTCTGAGCCTGTTGCCCCCACCCTAGAGTGCAGTGTGGATGTGGGAGAGTGCCTTATGAACTACGAAGCATAATCACATGCAAGGTGTGAAGTTATTGAGGTCTGTCATCAGACACAGCCTCCTGGCTTTTCCTCTGGTCTTAGGTTGAGCAGGAGAATGGAGCACAGTTCTTTCTGACCCTCTTCTTGTGGGGTGTTCATCTAAGGAAAGTAGAATGAATTTCTTCTCTTTTGAGGAAACATAACTTTCTCCTCTCCTTGTGGCCCTTCTTTCCATTCATCCTGAGGTCTAAAGCCACCAGGTTCATCCCAAAGCTCCTGCAAAAAGTCAGGACAGCTGTCCTTCTAGAGAAAAGGTCACCCTCTGAAGGAAGCTGGCACTAATGCAGGTATAGGGAAGAGCCTCATGCATTTGTTCTCCAGCATATGGAAGAATGTCCAGTAAAACCCAGGTTCCCAGAAAAGGGAAGACTGAGGCTATCCGTGTGGGAATACAATACATTTGTAGTAGCCACAAAGCAGGGTTGGCAGAACAACTCAAAGGCAGGAAGCCTGTCCTCAAGCTCCCCCAAGACAAGCTATGAGGCTGCCTCAGTTCCCAGCCAGTTCTGCCTGTCTTCTCCCACTGCAGCAGCAGTAGGCTCTTCAGCATCTGAAATAGTCCTCTTTGCTTGTAAAATGCCAGGGGAGGATGCAGCAGGAAAAGGCTACCAAAGAAGCTATTAAAGCAGAGACTTCTAGGGCCAAGGCACACCCTCACAATCTCAGCCTCCTAGAACTTCACACCTGGCAAATTATAGCACAGCAGGCTCCCACATGCTACTCGGAGCCAAACTCCTGCTTACACCCCACGCCTGAGGCTGCCTGTGGACGAGCACAGCCTTCATCCCCAGTCATGGCCTTCAGCCTGGAACCCAGTAGATTCGGGAGGGCACAGGCAGAAGCAGCTAAGAACTGCCCCAGCAGGAATGACACTAACAGGCTCAGGGTGAGGAGAGGCAGATGGACATCTGGTTTGGGTGTGGGGAAAAGAAAATGATTTTAGCATTTAATTTACTCTATCAGTCAGGGATTATCAAGCCTGGGGAAATAAAGAATGGATTATTTCCCAGAGAGTTGAGCTACACCATCTCTCAAGAGGGATTTTGCCTTTAAAGCACCCAGCAAACAAAGCTGACCCTCACTGTCCACCCAACCAGGCAGGGAAGGGCTGAGTGCAGCATGATGGGGGCCTCAGAAGAGGGGTGCTAACCAAAACTCCGAGGAAGTTATGGACATTTGAAATTGGTTCATAGTCCATCAGAGACTGTCTTTCCTATATAGTCCATATGGCACATACTATCACAGAAATGATTTGCCTTTTCCAGAGGGAAATATTTGTTTACTATCTCTAAAACAACGGGAAAACTGCAGGGGCACCTGGGTGGCTCAGTCAGTTAAGCGTCCAACTTGGGCTCAGGTCAGGATTTCACGGTTTGTGAGTTCGAGCCCCACGTCGGGCTCTGTGCTGACAGCTCGTAGCCTGGAGTCTGCTTCCGATTCTGTGTCTCCCCCCCTCTCTCTGCCCCTCCCCTGCTTGTGCTCTAGGTCTCTCAAAAAATAAATAAATGTAAAAAAAAGTTTTTAATAAAAATAAAATGGGAAAATTGCAAAAACAATATAACACTACAATACAAATGAAACTATGTGATTCCAATGAGCTGGGATCCTTAAGAAGATAACTGCACACTGCTTGGCCTTCCCCTCTGCCCTCAGGGATGCTGAGATACCACATGTTATTAGCACAGGATTGACCAGAGAGGATGCTCAGGTATGTTGGTTCCTCTTATCTGCTGCACCCTGAGGGTTGGCTCAGCAACAGAAGGCCCAACAGTGTACAGCCCAGCAGAGGATGGGACACACTCCGTTTCTGGCCCCAGAGCTGACACCTCACACTTCAGAGCCACCCAACCCAAAGCCAAATGTCTTTATAACTTCACATCCTGCATTTTCTGGAACTATGTGATTCTCCATACCCTGTGGGATTGTTCTTTGCCCTCTCTACACCTGACTCTGAGAAGTCTGGGGCCCTTACACAGGCCTCCAGGAAACAGCCACATTGCTGGAGAAGCATTACTTTTTATGGCTCTAAGTGCTTCTGACTGAATCCAGTCCACTGATAATGTCAGCCTCTCAGAGTTGTTCGTTCCCTGAAGCTCAGCCTACTTTGTCTCCAGAGCTGACATCCTCTCTCCAGCACGGGAGGCACTGTAAAGGAGCTGCCATGCATGAGGTCAGCAAAAATCCTTTGTCCCTAGTTGTTTTTCCATCCTTTGCCTCTGTATCTCCTCTGCCTGGCTGGTTTCCTTGAAGAGATCAGCTGGTTTCCACTGAAGAAGTATCTGCTTTCCTGGGCGACCATGGGGAAGAGTCTGATTAAGATTCACACCAGAGTCCGAGTTCAGCTCCGGTTGACTAATCATTGCCTTCGGCCACTAAGTGTGCGCATACTGAGGATGGGGCCCCGGCTCCAGGGGAGGCTCCTGACCACTGTGTCCCCTGGCCCACAGGGAGCCACCTCTGGGCAAGGCAAGCAGCTGGAACATATCCAAGGTAAAAAAGAATCCTCTGTTTTGCTGTGCCATTTGCCAGATCCCACCCACCCACGGTACCCACCCTCTCCATCCCACAGTAACAGGTTTGATGAAGGGGTTGGGGTGGGTGGTGACTTCTAGTGAACCTGAAGTTTTGTACAAGACTAGTCTGACATACATACAGGTGAGGTCTGTTGAGGGAACAGAAGACTAACATTTACTGAGTAATTTTGTTTGTCTAGCAGTCTACTAGAAATGCATACATTTCCATTATCTTATTTACTGAGAGCACCAACAACTTATTATAATGTGGTTTCTGGTGTCCCTCTGATCTGTTCTCTCTAACAGCCTTTGCCTCTCTCCTTCCCCTCCAAGCTTAGGGCTGAATAGTAGGCTAAGCTGAAATGCACCGAAGTGGCTTCAGCAGCTAAGCTGGTCATACTGTGGAAGATCTGACAGTCATAGCTGTCTTTGTGAGGGGACAGCCTCTAGAAAGGGTATGAGGATTATGTGGAATTTAAGAAACAAAACAGATGAACATATGGGAGGGGGGAAAAAAGAGAAAGAGAGGGGAAACAAACCATGAGAGACTCTTAAAGATAGAGAACAAACTGAGGGTTGATGGGGGGATGGGCTAGATGTGTGATGGGCATTAAGGAGGGTACTTGTGATGAGCACTGGTTGTTGTATGTTAGTGATAAATCACTGAATTCTATTCCTGAAACCAATATTGCACTGTATGTTAACTAACTAGAATTTAAATAAAAATGGAAGGAAGAGAGGGAGGAGCAGAGGAGCCAACACATGTGTGATCAGGGCCTCAAGATTTGTTTTATCAGGAACTTATTAAACATTCCCAGGTTCATATTCCTCATGCTGCTTGTGCAAATGCAGGAATAAGGGGAACAAACTGGGGGGAAAGGATCAAAGGAGCATCAAGAGCACTGGAACAAGGGGCTGGCTCTTAATTTCACATTATTTCACAACAGTTTCTTGGGCAATTGGGACCTAAATCTAAAGTAGGTGTAAGATGTTGACTTAATTCATCCAGGCCCAGAATCCAACTACATGATCATTAGCACCAGGAAATAGAAAGAGGCTTGGAGTCCATCCTTACCTTTGCCATCACCAACCAACCACATGACTTCAGGCAAGCTCTGTAACCTCTTGCTTTCATTACTTCGTGGAAAGATAAAATGAAAGCACTTAAAAAAGTTTAAAATAGTATACAAATGTAAGATTTTAGCACAAGGGGGGAAAAAATAAAACCAGGACCATGAGGAGCTTCTGAAAGCAGAAGCTGAAAGCTGTGGCAAATATACTTACTGATGGTGAGGTGATGGGGAGACTAGGTGGCTAGCAGGGGGCTGCTGTTCCTGCCCCAACCCACCCCACATTTGTAACCAATCCCAGGATTTGTTCCTCTGGAGAATCCTTAACTGTGTCGATGGGCTCCAGCAGGCTGAGCAGGCAGACTGCCTGGGAGCAAATGGCTACTCAAGACACCCAAACACAACTCACTACTTCTGAAAGGTTACTGCCACCTTTTAAGAGAGACCTTTGGGCGGGGAGGGGGGGGAGGGCAGCGGCGCCTGGGTGGCTCAGTTGGTTAAGCATTTGACTCTTGATTTTGGCTCAGTTCATGATCTCACGGTTTGTGAGACCAAGCCCCACATAGGTCTCTGGGCTGACAGTGCAGAGATTCTCTCTCTACCTCTCTCTCTGCCCCTCCTCTGCTTGTGCTCTCTCTCAAAATAAATCAACATTCAAAAAGTGAGAGAGAGACCCTTGGGCTTATGAAGCTAGCCCTAATCAACCCTTATTTGGTCAAGCCTTTACATAGCTGGGAATCTGATCTAGTCTGCAGCAATTCAGGGTCAATTTCAGAGCAACAGAAGGGAACTGGCTTCTCTTACCATAGGCCGCAAAGGCAGGGAGAGTCAGAGCCACTCTGGCACCCCAAAGATAGCCAGGAATGAAAATGCAGACACTGAACCTGAAACAAGAAGCCATTTCCTCGAGAGCATTGTGATGTGGGCCATACTCAGTGACTCCAGGCCCACATCTTCTAGCCTCCATGGCTACTATTTAGTTGAGGGAGTAACCACCTCCTGTTTTTTTGCTACCAGAGGCTGAGCACTGTAAAGAGAGAAATGTTCCATCTGAAAAAGTAGAGAGATAATGGGTAGTTTTAGGGGGTCGGAGAACACTTTCTCCTGACCATTGTAAGAGAATTTCCACCCTGACCCAACAAGATGTTCTCAGAGACCACGCTGCAGTTTGGAGTGTGTAAAGATAGGGGATGTGTCAGCCTACAGTAGACCCAGCTCATTCTAAAGTAAAAAAAAGGAGCCACTAGCCAAGGGCTATTCCCCTTCTCCATCAGAAAACACTTAGGAAGAGGGGTGCCTGGGTGGCCCAGTTGGCTAAGTATCTGACTATTGACTTCGGCTCAGGTCACATCTCCAGGTCATGAGATGAAGCCCAGAATTGGGCTCTGTGCTGAGTGTGGAGCCTGCTTGGGATTCTCTCTGTCCCTCTCTCTCTGCCCTCCCATGCTCATGCATGCACATGTGTATGTGCACATGCACACTCTCTCTCAAAAATAAACATTAAAAAAAAAAAAAGAAACCACTTAGGAAGAGCAGATAGGGTTTTAATGTCCCCTAAGATTAGGACAGCTAGAAGTGGGAGGCTGAAGAGACAGAGCACAACTGCAGAAATCCAAAAGATGACCTCATGAACTCAAGGAGGTACATGATGGGTTATTAGAAGGGCACTCAGCTCCAGAATCAGTATTTCAGGAGCCCTAGTGAAGGCAAACAGTCTTTTCCTCCCCATTCCTGCCTCTTAAGATCCTCAGCCCAAGAGGGAGACTTGAGCTCCCTGAAATGTGGCCCCAGCTCTGAATCAGGGATGGTATGCAATTCAGAATGTCTTTCAATTGATGTCAAAAGCAGGAAAGGCAGAATCTTTGACAAATCTTGCCAAAACCCTACGTAAAAAGAAAAAAACCTCCAACCATGGCCCCTCTGATGTCTGCTGCTTCTCGTATCCTCTTCCTGATACATCAGAACAGCATGCAGCAGCCACTGTCACGTGAAGTGTACAGGGGGGCTTCCTTCCAAGATTTTAGTTACCATATAAAACAGAATGGGTGCTGCCTCCACCAGACAGCAAAGTGTGCACAGGGACCCAGAAAGCCTTCTCACGTTCCTTTTGCATTTCCAGGCCTCGAGTCCCTCCGGGACAGTGCCCATTCCACGCCAGTGCGTTCCTCCTCCCACGGGGACACCTTCCTGCCTCATGTGAGAAGCAGCCGGGCAGATAGCAATGAGCGAGTCGCCGTGATTGCAGACGAAGCCTACAGTCCTGCAGACAGTGTGCTGCCCACCCCTGTGGCTGAGCACAGCCTGGAGCTGATGTTGCTTTCCCGGCAGATCAATGGGGCCACCTGCAGCATCGAAGAAGAGAAGGAGTCTGAAGCCAGCACTCCAACAGCTACAGAGGTGGAGGCCCTTGGGGGAGAGCTGAGGGCCCTGTGTCAGGGGCACGGCAGGCCAGAGGAGGAACAGGTGAATAAGTTTGTTTTAAGTGTCCTCCGTTTGCTCCTTGTGACCATGGGACTCCTCTTTGTTTTGCTCCTCCTCCTGATCATCCTTACCGAGTCTGACCTTGACATTGCCTTTTTCCGCGATATCCGCCAGACCCCCGAGTTTGAACAATTCCACTATCAATACTTTTGTCCCCTCAGGCGATGGTTTGCCTGCAAAATCCGCTCAGTGGTGAGCCTGCTCATTGACACCTGAGAAGGCATGACTCCTCCCAATAACTAGCCAGGTGGACCAAGGAGCCCGGCTACCCATTCCCAGCAATGGGACCCATCGCGGAACCATCGGCACATGTACCAAGTCCTCCTCTCATGACTCAAAGTCCACAGCCTAGGAGGGTCATTTCCCAGAAGAAAAAGAGGATAGGCTCATGCCCTATCTAAACAAACTGGGAAAACTCATTTCCTTCAGAGGTTCTTCCAAGAAAGGCTCAGCGACTCTGTTTCTCATCCTCCCGATTTGCAGGATAATTTTTGGTTTTGAATTTTGATTTTTCATAGATGTGTATTATTTTGAAAGTATCAAATAAAAATAATTTATTTTACTATTACGGATTATCGCAGTAGTGTCACCTAGCAGATGGGACACTAGTTGAAGACTAGAGAGCTGTCGTCTTCTGTATTGTGCGGGAGCTTTCCTACTGGGCTCCAGTAGGCTCATCAGTGCAGCCTCAGCAGCACAGGCCAGGGGTCTGGACAATGGGAACTATCTGTAGGTTTTCCTGCCAGACGAGATTTGAAAAAAGTAAACATCCATGTAGAATGATTAAATGGAAAGTTGCTTCTTATGATGGTCTGAGTTGGATTTTCTTTTCCTTTTGTTTTTTTCAAATCTGAGCAGAGTGGGCATCTGAAGGGACCACCGCTACCGCAGCAGCAGCAGCAGGGGTGGGGTAAGTCTGTCCCCTTAGACTAGAGATCCTAGTGGGCATCGCCATGAGTTTTATATAATGAACTTAGACTTCTCTGATTTTTTTTTTTCCTGAAGAACCTCAAGATTTTTATAGTGCTTCAGAGACATTAGTTGAATTCAGTGGTGCCTGAGATAAGACTGTCAGAAATGTCGGACAAAGTGTAGTTAACAGAAACGAGAACTTAGGTACCTAAGAAACTGTTGAGATTCAGAGAGCAGTACCTATTTTGTACCCCCCCCCAAAAAAACTATTTCAATTTATATTTTAACAAGATGTTATTTTCTTATCAATTCATATTTTGTTTTTACTTTATGGGTTAAGAAAATAGAGCCTGATGAACTAAATGATGCAAGAAAGAAACTAATCTTGAGAATGAAAAGCTTCAGAAAAGAGAATTCCAAGATCAACAAAGAGCCTTGGAAGGGACCAAGAAAAGGATTTCTTTAAATAGGCATACTAAAAGATGCCTACAAAAGAAAGAAAGCAAACGTGGCAGAAACCAACAATTAGATGTAGAAATACTGCCCCCTAGGGTCATCCTCTGCATCAGGAAAATAAGAGTTGTAGGAAAGTATTTGCCATTCTTGCTGAGGGAAGCTGTGGAAGCATGCAAAGCATAGCATGTGAAGGGTGAGTGTGGGGTCCAAGGCCCAAGCTCTGCAACTCTTAACAACCACTCACATACAAGATCTCGTTTTCATCTCAGGGAGAGATTTCTAAGTCATCTGGGGCCTGAGGACTTATTTAAGGATAGTCCGTAGACATATTCCTGGGACCCACACAATAGTGGAGTGGCTGCTAACATCACGTGATGTTGGGCAGCCCCAAATGCAGAACAGGATGAGTCACTTGAAGATTTGCTCTCCCCTAATTTGTCCCCTGAAATAGCAGAATCATGTCCATGTACAGAGTATAACAGACATGGAATTGACAGGGGGTACAGGGTGGGGGGAGTGGATTGTACAATTCTAAATGCCCTTTCATCTAGACCAGGGGTTGGCAAACTTCTTCTGTAAAGTGTCAGATAGTACATATTTTTTTTATTTTGGTTTTGTGGGCCATACTCTGTGGCAACTACTCAACTCTGCCATCATAGCACAAAAACAGCCATAGGTAATACATAAACAAGGAAACATGGCTGTGTTCTATAACAGTTTATTTTTAAAAAGACAGCTGAATTTGGACCACAGGCCATAATTTGCCAACCCCAATCTAGACAATAAAACTGCTCCTTACCAGTATGTTAGCAGAAAGGGGGTCGGCTCTGCTCCCATTCCTGACTTGCTAAAGGCCCAGGACCATTTCCCAGTGGAGGCACTGGGGTTGCTTGTTTAAAGGGTGCTTGAACAACCAACCAGCAAAGAGGTAACTGATGCCAAGATGAGCAAGATCAAGTGTTTAAATGCTAAAACTCCACCAGAAGCTAAGAATGGAAGAGGAATGTCTGATCATTTCCATACCAGCGACAATTAGGGCAGAATTACAAACATCTATTTACCAAGTGACAAGACAAACTGAAGGAGATCCTAGTAAAACTTAGGGATCACTTAGAACCAACTATCCACTGCCACTTGTCATCTACACAGGAAGGCTTTATTTAGCACAGGACTGAAGTGAAAAGTAGACTCAGAGATGAAAAGGCTGTCAGGAGATAGGGGGCTGGTTTTAACCTGGATATCTACTGTCTTATGCAACATAGCAGATTACCTTTTAGTGTAGTGTTCCTACCTCAGTCTGTAGAATATGGTGTTTCTATGCAGTGAGTGATAACCTTGACAGTGACCTTTCATATTCACATTAAAGAGAGATACAATATTCCATTTCCTGGTATGTTACTTGTGTCTAGAGTTCTAACAGTACAGTAGTCCATACCACTTCCAACAGCTGGATTTTGCTCTCTGAACAGAAACTTTTGGGTTATTTTTTTCCAGGGCTTACCCCAGAAAATACAGATAGTAAAATTTCCTTCAATTTGCTTTTCAAGTAGCGCTTGAATAACAAACCTCCTTTGTTGGTGACTAGTCTTTTTGGTATCTCCCCATCGTTAAACATTGTTCAGATTTTTAACCTGGTTTTACTGTGTTCCACTATGTCTCCCATTTTCTCTCAAAATTAGTTTGATCTCATTGTAGAAAAAAACAATGGATTCCATAGCTTCATCCATCAGAGGAAATAAAACTCTTACTAAAGAATAGTGTACTGCATCTTTAAGCAGTAGAAGGTAAACTACCTGCAAATGTGAATTTCTTAGTTTCATTAAAAAGTATAGTTGTAAACCTTTCGTGTGCCAAAAATTCTAAGTTATACTTTCCTTCAAAGCAATGTACTTTTTTCTACATATGCAGTATGTAGTTAGCATAAAATCATTGGTGCCATGAAAATTATTTTTAAACTTAAATAAATATTTAAATATCATTGAAGAGTGGACTCTTTTTTAACCTACAACTGGTCTCCCTTTTTCCTCCTTAAAGTTACCAACACAGAGATAAAAGGATACCAGGGGGATTTATACAGCTGACTGCTGTTCATGACTAGAATCATTTAAAATAGTCATTTTATTGGGGCACCTGGTTGCCTCAGTCAAGCATCCAACTCTTAATTTTGGCTCAGGCCATGATCTCATAGTCATGAGGTTGGGCTCCACACTGGGCATGGAGCCTATTTAATATCCTCTCTCTCAAAAAAAAATAGTAATAGTCATTTTGCTTATATCCATCTATCATCCTTGACCTTTCCCCCAAAATAAATACTACTAAAAACGTGGAAACTGTAATAATAGAATGATTTTAGAGATGAATTGGACCTCATTTTTCTGTTGAGGAAAACCAAGGAGTGATTTTTCCTAAGGCTACATAGAGCCAAAAGTAGAACCAAGATGGTCCAGGGTGCCTGGCTGGCTCGATAAGTAGAGCATGAGATCTTGAGGTTGTGAGTTTGAGCCCTACATTGAGTGTAGAAATTACTCAAGAAAATAAAATCTTAGGGGCAGCTGGGTGGCTCAATCAGTTAAGCATCAACTCTTGATTTCAACTCAGGTAATGGTCTCACAGTCTGTGGGATGGAGCCCTGCATCTGGCTCCACACTGACGGTGCTGAGCCTGCTTAAGATTCTCTCTCTCCCTGCCCTTCCCCTCCTCTCTCAAAATAAAAGTTTTTTTATAAACAAGAACCTAGATGGTCCAGCTTCTAGACCAGTGTTCTTACTCAAGCCTGGAACAAGAACAGAAAACATTTCCTATGAAGGGAATAGAATGGTGTCACTGCTACAGTAACCTGATAATTACAACTTACAAAATATATTCCTATGGCATTATCTCACCTGATTATATAACCATCACTCTGGCTACAAAACTGGTAATGGTCTTTTAAATTCCATGAGGATGAAAAGTGAAACTTGTGCTAGTTTCTTACCTAATCTTCCTGTTTTCAATTCTATCTGCCCTTTAATGCTCCATTCTGCTACCAGATCATCTTCCTAAAGCACCAATCATGTTATGTAACCCACCTCGAAATTTTCAGAGGTTCCTATCACCTATAAAGTGATTATCTAATATCCTGTCCCTAGTGGAGTTTTGTTTTTGTTTCTAATGACAAAGTCTTTGCTTAAAGTGATCTGCAAAGTAAAAAGCCTAAGAAACAGGGGTGCCTGGGTGGCTCAGTAAGTTGAGTGTCCAGCTCTTGATTTCAGTTCAGGTCATGATGCTAGGGTCGTAGGATTCAGTGCAGAGTGTGGAGCCTACTTAAGATTCTCTCTCCCTCTGCCATTCTCCCCCACCATTTTCTAAAAAAGAAAAAAAGAAAGCTCTCTAAAAACAAAAAAGAAAACCCTAAGAACCACTGGATGTGAGTGGTGATTTCCCATGATCCTACAGTTTTTTTAACATTTATTTAACATTTATTATTTTCCCCCAGTGCAAGATGGGGAGAGGCAGAGAAAGTGGACACAGAATCCAAAGCAGACTCCAGGCTCTGTGCTGTCAGCACAGGGCCCAACATGGGGTTCAAACTCATGGACCGTGAGATCGTGACCTGAGCCGAAGGTGGACGCTTAACTAAGCCACCCAGGTGCCCCCATGATCCTACAGCTTTAAGGCAGCCACTCTTCTATGGATACTTAATGAGGACCCCCTATGTACAGACCCTTTCAGGGCTCTAGCACCCACTCCCTCTGCTTAGGGTTCCTCAACCATCAGCAGGCCCCTCTACAAGAGAATACACTCCTGGTTTTAGCACATGAACAGGCTTCCTCTACACACCCCTACAACTTGCTGATGGAGTAGAATCAAACAGGCAAAAGATACTTTTAAAACACTTCCTCTTGCACTGCTTTCATTTTAGGAAGAGGTACCTTAAAATGTTTTACTCCTGCCTCTGTGCTAAATGTTATCTTCCTCACAAAATTTCACCTTTTCATTTGAAAATCCAAAAACACTTATAACCAAATGAACCAAAATATGGGTTTATGCTGTCCTGGAACTAAAACTCCTTACTGGCCATCAATACCATACTAAAAAGGAAAAACCAAAAAAAGTACTAAATCAGAAGGGACAGCCTAGCAAAAGGACACCTAAGTTTTTGGAACCTGAAGTTAAAGGGCATATATTGCTTCCTCTTGGGTTGATACAGAAGATACCTGTGTCTGCCCTCCTCCCTCCCCATGTACTATAACTGACTGAAAGGATTTAAATCTTTGTGTACACAGCCCCAAGCTCCCTGCTTTCCTGGAGAACTGCCTTTGCAAAGTCATCTCTGTGGAAAGGAAACTCAAAGGCATGAATACCAAAACAGGACTTAAGGAACTAAGATTTATTAATTCCTAATCATTTTTAAGTCTCTCCGAGTTTGACCAAGTCCCTGTCCGCCTGAGAATCGTCTCCTTCCTCCTTAAGGGCATAAAAGGATGGGCATCTCAAAGAAAATGACTCAATACAGAGCTTACGTGCTTAAGAGATATCATAAAGCCCAACTTAAAAAAAGAGAGAAAGCAATCATAACATACGAATAATTACAGAAGCCATAAAGCTTTAAGCAAGTCTCTGGGAGAAGTACCTTTCACAACAGATTACAGTTTAAGGATGTCCTAAGGGAGACAATTTTCCTTTATGTGCTTTGTAGATTTAAACAATTACTCCATTATAGAGCTTATCACTGAGAAACAAGTCCCCACTCACTCTCCTTCCTTCCTGCATTGCATCAAGAAGACAGAACTCTATTAACTGGAATTAGATATAAATACTACAGTTTATGAAGCTAAAATGGCAAAAGAAACCACAAAAGTGACAAACATCAAGAATTTGCTAACATTTATTGCAGAAACCGGGCAATTACCACCAAGGATTCAAAGCTTAAATGATGGTACTAATTTCAATGAGAGTATTTTTCAATATCTTTAAAAAAGAGCACTTTTCACAAAAGTAGCCACACTCTGGGACCTGTGAAATGAAGTGGTGTAGAAAAGGGAAAGGGAAAGGGAAAAAAAGAAAAGAAAAGAAAAGAAAAGAAAAGAAAAGAAAAGAAAAGGGAAAGGAGCCTACAGCCTACAGGCTTCATTTATTATCTCCAGGGCAGTTTAATAGAAGTCAACCTCACTTAGCTTTCCCTTCCATTTCATAAATGAATATTTCCATTTCACTTACCAATTTCTATACTCCTCTCATCAAGAAAACAATTCTTATTACTTATAACCTATTTAATAAACTAGGCCTCAATAATTACAGAGAAGGAAATTATACATGTGACTTTATTTCTGTGATACACAATTTGAGAAGACATTTCCTCTTAGAATTCAAACATATTGCCAAAAACTATAATAGTCCTTCAGTAGTAGTTTGTCACTGAAGAGCAACAAGGTAAATATCTAGCAAAAAGGTAATGTCTTACAGTAATGTCAGTCACTGATTTTGTAGCTACCCTTCCAACAACAAACACTTTCAAATTGCCCTAACTTCTGGAAAAAAAAATTTATGACAAAAAATGCCAAAAGTCATTTTTCATAACATTTCCTCCAAATATGAATTAGGAATGAAGGTATTCACTTAAGAAGATAATGAATCTCCTCTGGAAAGTTTAAAGACAGGGATAGGTAAGTGTATCTGAGACGTTCTAAGGCAGGAGCTTTCACTTCTTAAACCATGACCTACAGCAGTACCACAATAATAAAGACATATATTTTACATCAGAATATACATGTGCATATATACGTACAAATATGCACGCATATATAACTAAGTTTCACAAAACAACCCTTACTCTATGTTTCCTATTCTTTACTATTTCTTTCCTTTTCCTTTTTTTAAACTCTGGTCATGGCTAAACTGATTTCATGTGAATAGCTATAAACCACAGTGTGGAAAACACTGGTCTGAAGGCAATCTCACCCTGACTTACAAGGGTCAGGCAGATCCAAACCTTGTTCCTAGAAGACCTAGAATTCCTCAGCCATGTCTCAAGAGCTATCTAGAGGAGATCAAAGGGTCAGCACACACAGACCCAGGCCCTGCCCAAGTCAACTAAGGCTTCTCAACAATTATCTTGGGATTTCACATAACAATGAATTTAAAGGCGGGGGGGAAAAAAGAGCTCTCTATTTAAAAAAATCAAAAGTTTGAAAATCACTAAGTTAGGATCTCTTCCAGTATATGAGTCTAGAAATAAATATTCACTCCAAACTATAAAATAAACCACAAATCCAAATGTCACTATCAAAACCCGTATCATTAAACCACAAAAACTTTTAATAATAACCAAAGCTTTGTAATTTATAATGCTAGAATTTCTCAATATACTGCCTGATTAAAGTGCTGAAGCAATCATAGCCTCCCCTCAAATTCCCTCCCCAACCTACAGAAACAACTTAAAAGCCTTCTCCCTTACTAAAAGTACATTCTGCTCACAGTTCTTACTAATAAAGCAATTTTATATTTGCTAAGAAGAACATATGAACAAGTAAACAGACCAAGGCACATGAATTACTAGGCTACTTAGACACTGATTTGAACAAATTGGTGTTGCTAAACCAAACACTCAGCAACTTTCTTAATTCATAAAAACATGTATCTTCCCACTGGAATTGCCTCCAGCCAAAATATACCGAGTTGGGTGCATAGCATTGATGGAACACACAGAGACAAGGCATTCTCCACCAAAAAAAGAATGCACCTGCTTTCCTGTCTCATGGAAGATTTCCACCCGTCGTGGATGAGCCATGCTGCCAACTATGACACAGTCTTCTTGTTTAGGGTCCCACACAGCCTGGAACCTGGTCAGCCACCGCCCAGTGATGGTGTTGTGCCTAGTGAAAAAAGCAAGTTTTTTAAAGGTAGTAAGTGTTAAATAACTGAAGGCAGCAATCGGCAGACAGTAAACATGGCAATGCTCCTAAATGCTGGTTTTCTCTGCCAAGCTTCTCATTAAGTTACTGAGTTACCATCAGCCTAATCTCATCCTTCATATAAAACTGAACACTAGGGGTGCCTGGGTGGCTCAGTCAGTTAAGTGTCTGACTCTTGATTTCGGCTCAGGTCATGATCTCACAGTGCAGAGCCCGTTTGGGATTCATTCACTCTCTCTCTCTCTCTCTCTCTCTCTCTCTCTCTCTTTCTGCCCCTCCCCTCTCTCTCTCTCTCTCTCTCTCTCTCTCTCTCTCAAAATAAACAAACTTAAAAAAAAAAAAACCCTGAAAATTAGTCCCTTCATGGTTGTTCCTTTCTTGGGATGCCTGGGTGGCTCAGTAAGTTAAACATCCAACTCTTGATATCGGCTCAGGTCCTTGATCACCATGATCTTGAGATAGACCCGGCTGCCTAGGCATGGAGCCTGTAAGATTCCCCTCCCTCTGCCCCTCCCTGCTCACACATGCATGTACTCTCACTCTCTTTCAAAAAAAAAAAAATGGGACAGGAATGATGTCTTCTGTACTTCTCAATCTCCAGTGCCAAGTACAGTGGTTTTGTACTCAGTGGATGGTTACTGTCTGTTAAAACAGCAGCACCTTTTGGGGGCACCTGGGTGGCTCATTTGGTTGAGCAACCAACTCTTGATTTCAGCTCAAGTCATGATCCCAGGTTTGGCCAGGATCCAAGCCCTGCTCAGCATGGAGCCTGCTTAGAGTCAGTCTCTCTCTCTCTGTCTCTCTGTCTCTCTCTCTCTCTCTCCCCCTCTCTCCCTTCCTCCCTCCCTCTCTCTCCCTCTGCCCCTCTCCCCAACTCGTGCAATCTCCCTCTAAGTTAAAAAAAAAATAGCACCTTTTTTGTTCACTATTTCCTAGCTCAATAGAATCCTCACCCTTCCTTTTTTTAAACATACAAATAGAGCCTGGGTGGCGCGGTGGGTTAAAGCGTCGACTTCAGCCGAGTCACGATCTCACAGTCCGTGGTTTGAGCCCGATCGGAGGCTGATGGCTGGGGAGCCTGGAGCCTGTTTTAGTGTGTCTCCCTCACTCTCTCTGCCCCTCCCGTTCATGCTCACCAGTATACTCTCTGTCCCAAAAAAATAAAATAAACGTTGAAAAAAAAAATTTTTTTTTAAATAAATAAAAAAATAAATAAATAAACATACAAATAGAAGAAGCCCTAGAAATAAGAAATATACAATCCAGGTTATTGCCATTTTAATAGAATCTATAATCCCGTATTTGTATTCCCCTGATAATAAACCACAAGGAGGCATTTTATATTCCATAAACTTTTAAGTAAAAATACATTTGGGGCTCAAAGAAGAAGTCACAAGAGAAATTAGAAAATATCTGACAATGGAGCACCTGGTGGCTCAGTCAGTTAAGTGTCAGACTTGGGCTCAGATCATGATCTCATAGTTAATGGGTTCAAGCCCCGTGTCAGACTGTGTGCTAACAGCTCAGAGCTTGGAGCCTGCTTCAGATTCTGTGTCTCCCTCTCTGCCCCTCCCGAACTCATGCTTGCTCTCTCTCAAAAATAAATAAATATTGAAAAAATTTTAAAAAGAAAGAAAATATCTGACAAATTAAAAGTGAAACACAACATACCAAAATTTATGGGATGCTACAAAAGCAATACTAAGAGGGAAATTTATAGCAGTAAACACTAAAGTCTCAAAATCAACACACTCTAGTTCCTCAAGGAACTAGAAAAAGAAGAACAAACTCAACCAAAAGTTAGAAGAAGGAAGGAAACAATAAAGATTAAAGCAGAGCTAAAAGTCAGGTCATGATCTCACAGTTCATGAGTTCAGGCCCACATCAGGCTCTGTGCTGACATCTCAGAGCTTGGAGCCTGCTTTGGATTCTATGTCTCTCTCTCTCTCTCTCTCTGCCCTTTCTCTGCTCGTGCTCTGTCCCTCTCTCTGTGTCTCTCAAAAATAAACATTAAAAAAGAAAAATTTAAAACAGAGCTAAATGAAATGGAGAATAGAAAAACAATAGAAAAAAACAAACAATAGAAAAAAAAAACTAAGTTGGTGTTTTGAGCAGATCAACAAAATTGACAAACCCTCACCTAGATTAGGAAAAAAAAGTGAAAAAAAAGAATAAAAGATAAAATGCAAGTAACTGAAATCAGATATGAAAGCGAGGACATTAAAACTTATGTCACAAAAATAAAAAGGATTACAAGAGAACAGTATGAACAATTATATGCCAACATATTGGTTAACCCAGAAGAAATGGCATTTCCTCATGGACCGAACCATGAGGAAACAGAAAATCTAAGCCTATAACTAACTACTAAGGGGATTAAAACAGCAATCGAAAACCTTCCAATAAAGAAAAGCCCAGGACCAGATGGCTTTGCTGGAGAATTCTACCCAACATTTAAAGAATAAACACCAATGCTCATCAAATTCTTCCCAACAATTAAGGGGGAACTCCCAAATTTCTTTGAAACCAGCACTATTCTGATACCAAAACCAGAAAAGGAGTCTGCAAAAAAATAAAATGACAGACTAACATCCCTGATGAATACTGATGCAAAAATCCTCAACAAAATACTAACAAATTGAATTCAGTAGTGCATTAAAAGGATTATACACTATGATCAAGCTGGATGTGTATCTGGAATGCAAAGATGTTTCAACATACAAAACTCAAATGATTTAATATACCACATTAACAGAATGAAGGACAAAAACCATGAGATCATCTCGATGCAGAAAGATCGCTCGACAAAATCAATACCCTTTCATGATAAAAACATTCAATGAACTAGGAACACAAGGAACTATCTAAACATATTAAAGGCCATATACAAAAAGCCCACAGCTAACATCATACTCAATGGTGAAAGACTGAAAGCTTTTCCTCAAAGATCAGGGAAAAGGCAAGGATGCCCACTCTTGGCATTTCTATCCAACACAGTCCCGAAGTATGTTTCTTACCAACATAAATCTGGTAGGACTAGAAACACTAATCTAAATGCCAGGTGTTCACAACTGTACAGGTAGCTAGATCCTACCTGTGAGACATCACCATTACACCAACAAGCATTTGATAAGGGGGACATTCTGAACACTCACATGATGATCAATTAGACAAGAAAAAGAAATAAAAGGCACCCAAACTGGAAATGAAGAAGTATAATTATCTGTTTGCATGACACAACTCCACACTCACATAAAATTCAATTCTAAGACTCCACACTCACATAAAAAACTGTTAAACTAAAACAATTTCAGCACCGTTGCAGGATACAAAAATAAATGTACAAAAATCAGTTGCATTTCTACACATTAACAATGAACAATCTGGACAGAAAATTAAGAAAACAATCCCATTTACAAAAAAGAATACATAGGAATAAATTTAACCAAAGAAGTGAAAGATTTGTACACTGAAAACTACAAAACATTACAAAAAAAAATCAAAGAAGATACAAATAAATAGACATCATGTCCATAAATTGGAAGATTTAATATTGTTGAAATGTTCATAACTATTCAAACTGATCTATAAATTTAATGTAATACCTATCAAAATCCCAATGGCATTCTGTACAGAAATAGAAAAACAATCTTAAAATTGATATGTAAGCTCAAAGGACCACAAATGGCCAAAATAATCTTTAAAAAAAAGATTTTTTTTTAAGTTGGGGGCCTCACACCTCCTGATTTCAAAATATACCACAAAGTAACAGTAATTAAGACAGAGTGGTACTGGCATAAAGACATACAGTCCAATGTAACAGAGAGCCCAGAAATAAACTCTCATGTATATGGTCAAATGACCTTCCATAAGGGTGCCAAGACCACACAATAGGGAAAGGGCAGTGTCTTCAACAAATGGTGCCAGAAAAACTGGATATCCACATACAAAAGAACAAAGTTAGACAGTAATCTTACACCATATACAAAAATAACTCAAAATGGATTAAAGACTTAAACATAAGACCTGAAACAAAACTCCTAGAAGAAAACATAGTGAAAAAACTTCAGGACATTGGATTTGGCAATGATTTCTTGGATATGACACCAAAAGCAAAACAGACAAATAAGACTATATTAATCTCAAAAATTCTGCACACCAAAGGAAACAATCAACAGAATGAAAGGCAACCTACAAAATAGTGTAACTCCTACAACTCAAACTAGGGGCGCCCAGGTGGCTCAGTCAGTTGAGCATCTGACTTCAGCTCAGGTCAGGATCTTAGTTTGTGGGTTTGAGCCCTGTGTTGGGCTCTGTGCTGACAGGTCAGAGCCTGGAGCCTGCTTTGGATTCTGTGTCTCCCCCCTCTCTCTGCCCCTCCCCTGTTTGCGCTCTGTCCCTTTCTCTCTCTCTTTCCCTAAATAATAAATAAAAAACATTTTTAAAAAATTGAAAGCAAAAATGACCCATTTCAAAAATGGGCAAAACTTGAATAGACAATTCTATAAAGAAAATATATAAATGGCCAAAAGCATATGAAAAGATGTTCAATATCACTAATCATCAGAGGAATGCAAATCAAAACCACAGTGAGATATTACCTCACACCCATTTAGATAATCACTAACAAAAGAGCAGAAAACAAGTGAGGGGCACCTGGGTGGCTCAGTGGGTTAAGTGTCTGACTCTTGACTTCAGCTAAGGTCATGATCTTATGGGTTCTTGAGTTCGAGTCCTGCATCGGGCTCTGTGCTCATGGTGCAGAGCCTGCTTAGGATTCTGTCTCTCCACTCTCTGCCTCTGTGTGTGTGTGTGTCTCTCTCTCTCAAAATAAATAAATAAATAAACTTAAAAAAAAAAAAGAAGAAGAGAAAAGTGATGAATATACAGAGAAATTAGAACCCTGGTGTACTGCTGGTAGTATCAGAAAGTAAAATGTATAGCCCTTACAGAAAAACAATATGGAAGTTCCTCAAAAATTAAAAAACTCCTCCTTCTGGGCTATATACCCAAAATAATTCAAAGGACCTTGAAGAGATATTTGCACACCCATGTTCACTGTAGCATTTACAATAGCCAAAAGGTAGAAACAACCCAAATGCCCTTCAACAGATAAACGGGATAAAGAAAATGTGGATTACACATACAATGAAATATTATGCAGCCTTAAAAAATGAGACCCTGTCACATGCTAGAACATAAGAGAACACTGAGGACATGATGTCAAGTGAAATACGCTAGTCAAAGAATGACAAGTACCGTGATTCTACTCATATAAAGTATCTAAAGTAGTTATAAGTACTCATCAAGTGTCAAGTAGAAAGGTGGTTGCCAAGGTCTGGAAGGGAGGGAGAAGGAAGAATCAAGGTTTAATGGGCATAAAGTTTGAAAAAGGAAATGAAGAGGGACAATTTATGAGAAAGGAAACAAACACACTTAAATGTAGCTTCCACAGACTATAAAATGCATGAAGCAACAGTCAACATATTGCATACCCTATTCCCAATTCCATAAATACTCACAAAGAGAGACATCTAGGAAGAAGGCATTGACGCAAGTTGGATGTAAAATACTGTACATACATTAAAAGTAGCAGATGCAAAAAAAAAGAAAGAAAGTAACCAAAGAAAGTAAGTGGGAAGGTGGGGAAACCATTTAAGCTCACAACAAACAGGTATAAACAAAGAGAGCTTCAGCTGGCCTCACAGTAGGTAAGTAGTTACAATCTTCTTTAATAAGATACCATAAATAATTCAAGTTGAATATAGTCATCCACCTTAACCAAACAGAACCACCCAGCTGTAGAGAACAGCTACTGACTAAGAGACTGAACCTCTTTAAAAATACAGTGAACCTGGAAGCAAGAACACTTCTAAACAGGATAGGAACCAGCAACCTAGGACACTTAATGTAATACAAAAATCAGACTTATTACATCTCTTTGATAATCAGATGTCTAATGTATGCACTCTAAATAGCTGATAGCAATCCAGGGTCTACATTATTCAGCATATGGAAACCTACCTGATGGTAGTGAGCAGAGGAATCTGAGAGGATATACAGCTGCTGTCAAAGATTCTGCAAAATAAAGATCAAGAATAAAGTAACACCCTTTTTACTGTTTCTTAAAAATTTTCTGAAACATCAGTGTATTTAACAAGCTTTTCATTGGTTCATGATATGAAATATGATTGCTATTTTAAAATATATAGGATCAGGCTTTAACAAAAATTACAAGAAATATTATAAAATTCAGTGCTTTATAGTTTAGTGTAGAAATAATTTATTTAAATGCTATTACCCCAAATGTAAAATGCACATTATAAAGTGATAATCTGGTGAAATCTATTAGAAATCACAATATAGATCATATATAAAGGGATACGGTCTGAAAATGTACAAATAACCTAAAAATGCATGCACATATCAAGAGCAATTCCCCCATGAGACTCATTAGTGAGGGACTAAACAATGTCATTTTCAGATGCTGGCAAGACTATGACTGACCAGCAACCAAGGGGAGAAGTTCTTGTGGGATAACTCAAAGAGTCCAGAAGCCTCTACCAGGTAGAGAAAGAAACTACCCACATCACACCACCTCCCCCTTCTTTATGCACCTAGCTATTCCAGTGCAGTTTCTTGACACTAGAGCTTATTGCCTACTTAGATGACCAGAAAGGTGAATCATTAACAGCTAATGTAAACTCTACAGTGCAAATGAACAGAAATGGGAAAAATAGGTAGCTTCTGAGACAAAGAAAACTGTATGGGTGGAAAAGAGTCAATGGGCTGCCACTGCCTGGTGACTAAATCTTTTAATGCACCCACCTGGGTAATGCTCACAGACTTTACTAGAAACTAACTGGGTATTTGTCACAAACCAAAAACCATGCTCTTCCCAATAGAAGAGTCTAACGGAAATTAGGTGCCTTTCTAGAGCTGGGCCCACAATATATATTCAACAGATACATTCAACAGATACTGACTATCCACCAGTCATATATTTCCATTCAGTGTCCTACTATTCAACCAATGAATTCCAGAATCACTTAAGGTAAAAACTCTCATAAAATAATAAATGCTTACAATGCTAAGCAAAACCAGGAATTACAGAAGAGAACAAAATCATTTCCTTTGTGGTTGTATTAACATTCTTCACATCTTTTTTATTGGCACTATATTTTAATTTTTGTTCAACTGGTTTACATTTCATTTTTAAAGCCATTTTAGGAAGTACCAAAAAGCTAAAACCATAAAACTGTAACCAGTAGTTTGTACAGAAGCCCAATTTTTGCTATCTTTTCTGCCTGCCTACAACTTCCACTAAGCATTTCACATGTAAGGCAGACCCCACTATCCCCAACATAAGAGTTTGTCCCTATGCTAAAATTATCTTTCTTCTAACATATCACAGCCTGGTTTTATTGGGAATTCTGGGATTGCTCAGGGCTCAAAGGAAAGCCTGACATCTACTTCCTGAAGTAGCTATAGACCTTTCCTGCTGATCTCAAGGAAATTTCCAGACCCAAAAACTTTTGAAAAGCCATTAAATATAGGTTATTGATCTGGCTAGGAACAGAGAAATGGCTACAAAACAATAATACTAGCAATTTAATAGGGAGCAGTAGTAAAGCTACCTGTTTACTGACACAGTAGCTACAGACTCTTTAGATTCCTTAACAACACATTTCTATCTCCCCAATTTACCTCAGCTTACAATCAGCACATGTGGTCACTACTCTGTTACCAGTAAGAGGTGAAAAATATGCAGAAGCGATGCTCTTTGTGTGTTCAGTCAAAGAAATCAAAGGCTGGCTTCCCCTGGGATTCAGGTGCCTTGCATCATAAATATGAGTATCCCTGTAAGGGGAGAATAATTCTCAGTTTTAGCGAGCTCTCGAATAGTGCTGAGCATTAATTAGACACTCAAATACTCATTACACTGAAGAACAATTAAGACAGAACATTCTAATCTGTAATAATTTTACAAACATTGTGTAGACAAAAAATGAAATATTAGAAAAATTCCAAAACTGTAGCATATATATGAAACCAGTAGGTATAGAGAGACAAGATTCTACTTGGTTTTCCAATCTGAGAAAAAAAAAATGAACACAGACCAACAAGTTCTATGTCACATACAGGTTTTTTTTATAAGTTTTCTTCTCAAGAGACTAGAATTAAATGTATGTGATGCCACGGAAAACAAAAATGTGTTCTGGTTTAATATTTTCACTATTTATTAAATCCAAAAGAATCTCTCTTTTAAAAAAAATCACATTCAATAAAACCTCAATTGGTGTAGAAATCAAAATTATTTGACCATATGGGGTATCACAAAAGTTGGAGGTCTTTGACATCCAAACTAAAGCAATATTCCTAACTTTAAAAGGCCTGAATCACAAAACTTTATGAAGAACATACCTCAATCCTGCAGTGATAAAATACTGTCTATGCACTGGGTGGACATGAACAGTTCTTATTTTTCTCAGAGAAGAATTGATAAGCTTCTCATAAGAAGTTCCAGGTGTCCGTCTATCCACCAGCGATATATTTCCATTCCAGTGTCCTACTATTAAAGTGGAAGCATCTTCTCCCAAGAAGTCAAAGGATGAAAAGCTACTTCTTTCATCTCTACATACCTAAGGATATAAGTAACAACTTATACAACACTCTCCTTTTTAAAGAAAACAGATGCATAAATTCTTTGGTAAAAATCTATGAAACACTTTACCTAATAATCTCATTTATTCTTCCATCATCCCACAGAAAGCACCAGGCAGAATGATCACCCCTTTTTACAGAGATGGAAACAAAGGCACTGATCAGCTCTGAGACACCCCTACAATCAAATGGCCCATCTACCCATGTCAGGGTTACATGCCAAATCTCTTAAATCCAACAAACCTCAGGTGCAGATCTACCCTGTGACACTTACTAGGAAATGAACTAAATATGAATTCTACCCAATTCAAATACCTTAATATATCAAGGAATTTTGCCACCTAAGTCCAAAAAAATATAGCCAAATGTTCATCACCTACTCTTGGTAGAAGTGTAAATAAATACATAGCAAATTTCTGACAACCAATCAGAGTACACCTATCAAACTATTTAATGCTTGTACTCTCTGACCCAAAAATTTATCTAAGATATATATAAAGTTGCCTACTGCAAGACTGCCTATAATAGCAATAAGAAGCAACCTAGGGGCGCCTGAGTGGCTCAGTGGGTTAAGTGTCTGACTTCAGCTCAGGTCATGATCTCACAGTTCATGGGTTTGAGCCCCACATTGGGCTCTGTGCTGGCAGCGCAGAGCCTGGAGCCTGCTATGTGTTCTGCGTCTCCCTCTCTCTGCCACTCATGCTGTCTCTCTCAAAAAAAAATAAATATTTTTTTAATTAAAAAAAAATTTGTTAAAGAAGCAACCTAAATGTCCACCAAAAGAGGCCTGGTTTAATAAATGATGGTACATCACTACTTTGAAATACCATGAAATGCTAAAGAGAATGAGGTAGATTTGTACTATAATCTCTCCATACTAGTAAGTGAAAAGAGCAAGTTGCAAAAAAAGTATGTATACAGTAAAACTCCATTAGTACAAAATTACATGGTTGTAAGTATATGTGTACTTTCTTGAAGCATACCCAAGAACTACAAGGCTTACTTCTGCAGAGCGGAAATGGGGAAAAAGCAGATTTCCTTTGCACACCCTATTTACTGTAAATATGTTATCATAAGCATATATTAATGTTATGATTTTTAATCACTTATAATCCACAGTACTATTACTTTGGGCTCAGGTCTCACACACATAAAAAATAAAAAATAACAGTTGTAGAATGTGTCAGACACAAGTAAGAGAATAACCACAATTTGCAACATTGAATCACTAATTGCTGTTATTTAGTTTTAACGTACTATTATAAACTGAGATTAACAAATTAATTAACTGAAATCATCATAACCCCCATACACCCAAAAAGCCCAATATACACAAATGTAACCTGAAGTATTCAGTCAGTATGTTAAAAATGGTTAAGTGCAGGGGCTTAAGTGCAGTGAAGTCAGACAGACCCAAGTGAAAACTCTAGCACTACCATTTATGTTCCTGAGCAAGCTAATAAACCTCTTTACCTCAGTTTTCTCAACTGTTAAGTGCGGATAACATTATTTATTTCATAGAGTGTTATAAGGCTTAATAATATATATAAAGCACTCTCAGATAAATGTCTAACACAAGGTAACTGTTCAATCAGAAGTAACAGGAGCACATTACTTATGCATGCAACTTCATGGATGAATCTTCAAAGTATTATACTAGCTGAAAACAGTCAGACATAAAAAGCTACATACCATATGATTCGATTCCATTTACTTGACATTCTGGAGCAAAGTTATAGGGACAGTAATCACATCAGTGGTTGTCAGGGGCTGTGGGAAGGGGGAGGAGACTGACTACAAAGGGTCATAAGGTAATTTTTTCAGGTGATGGAAATTTTCTCTATATTGATTTTGGTTGCATTACACGGGTGTACACAATTTGCCAAAGCTCGTAGAACCATACACTTAAAGGGATAAATTCTACTACATATAACTTATACCTCAATAAACCAGACTTAAAATATATATATATATAATATATATATAATATATATAATACATATATATTATATATATTATATATATATTATATATATATATATA